CTATGAGTCACAAGTGACTCAGTGGCACATAACAACAACAACAACAACAATAATAAATCCACAATTAGGTGCTATGCATCAGAGAGCTGGACAATCACTAGTGATGACAGAAAGAGAATTGACGTTTCTGAGCTGTGGTGCTGGAGAAGAGTATTGAATTTACCTTGAACTGCTAGGAGAACAAACGGGCTCATCCTGTTGTTGTTGTTTATTGCCTTCGAGTTGAGCATAGCGACCCTGTGAACAAAAGGCCTGAAGCCCCTCTACAATTATTGACATTTATCAAATTTCCTAAGAGTTTCTGGAGGCATGTTATATAGGAGGTGGATGTCAGTCTTGTTTCCAAACCTGTCTTAGTATGTATGTGCCATTTAGTTGCCTGTGATATATCGCGACCCTATGTACAGCAGCTCTGTCCTGAGCCAGTATCACTAATTCCGACACACCAACCCCCATTGCCACAGTTACTGTATCAATCCATCACATCCAGGGTCTCCCTCTCTTGGTTCCTCCACCCTTCCGAGCATGATGCCCTTCTCCAAGGACCCATCTTTCCTGGTCGCTTTCCCAGAGTAAGTAAAGTGGAGCTTCAAAATCCTAGCCTCTAAGGAGAGAGTTGGTTTCACCCTCTCCATGACAGACTTATTTGTTTTCTTGGGAGTCCATGGTATATTCAAGACTCTTCTCCAGCACCACAACTCAATGGTACCTATTCTTCTATCATCCTTAGTCATTGTCCAACTCTCTGAAGCATAACAAGTAATTGAGAAAACCATGGCTTGGATTAGGCACACCTTTGTATCTAGACTGACATTGTTTCTCTTCAGCACTCTGGAGAGATCCATGACAGTAGATTTTCCCAATGCAATTTGTCTTTTGATTTCCTGACTGCTGGTGTTAAGAGTGTTGCTTGTGGATCCAAGCAAGCTGTAATTGCTAACAACCTCAATCTTTTCTCCATGTAATATGCTGCTGCCAATTGGCCCAGTGGTGAGAATCTTTGTCTTCTTGATGTTGAGCTTCAGTCCATATAATATGCAGACTACAGTCCTTTGACCTTTTGCAGCAAGTGCTTCGGGTCTTTTTCCGTTTCAGCAAACAAGGTTGTATTATCTGCTTATTGTAGGTTGTTAATGAGTCTTCCTCCAGTCTTGACACCACACTCCTCCTCATATGCAAGTTCAAATTAAAACTAAAGAAGTTTAAATCATATCCAGAGGAATAAAACTTTGACCTGGAGTCTATCTCCCATGATTTAAAAACCAACATAAATAAGCTTGAGGCCTTGAACACTAATGAACGAAGACCAGATGAGCTGTGGGAAGATATGAAGATGGTTCATGAAGAATGCAAAAAGTCATTACTAAGAAGGAAAATGACTAAAATGGTTGTCACAAGAGACTCTGAATATTGCAGTAGAGAGTTGAGAAGCCAAAGCAAAGGGAAGAAATAAAAAAGTTAATTAAGGAGCTGAATAGAAAATTTCAAAGGGCTGCTTGGGAAGATGAGGCAAAATATTATAATGAAATGTGTGAGAAGCTGGAGTCAGAAAATCAAAAGGGCCAAACTCACTCAGCATTTTTTAAGCTGAAAGAACTAAAGAATAAATTCAAGCCACGAGTTGCAATGCTATGGGCAGAATATTGAATGTTTCAAAAAGCATTAAAAGCACATGGAACGAATATACAGAGTCACTGTACCAAAAAGAATTGGCTGACACAGAATTTCAAGAAACAACATATAAGCAAGAGGTAATGATGATGAAGGAGGAAGTGCAGGCTGCGCTGAAGGACTTGGCTAAAACAAAGCCCCAGGAATTGATGGAATACCAGTTGATGTATTTCAGCAAACAGATGCTGCCTTGTATGTGCTCACCAAGTTGTGCAAAGAAATCTGGAGGACAGCTACTTGACCAATTGACTGGAAGAGATGGATATTTATTCCCATTCCAAAAAAGGTGACCCAGCAGAGTGTAGAAATCATCGAATAATATGCAAAATCCATGGTATGTCCAAGACTCTTCTCCAATACCACAACTTGAAGGTATATATTCTTCTGTCATTCTTAGTCATTGTCCAACCATCTGAAGCATAACAAGTAGATTGAGAAGATCATGGCCTGTATTAGGCGCACCTTTGTATCTAGACTGTATCTAGACTTTGTATCTAGCAAAAGCCTCCTCAAGATTATCCAGAAAAGACTTGAGCAGTACATTACAGAGAACTACCAGAAATACAGGCTGGGGTTAGAAGAGATTGTGGCAGCAGGGACATTATTGCCAATGCCAAATGGGTCTTGGCAGAAAGCAGAGAGACCAGAAGAATGTCTATCTGTATTTCATTGAGTATGCAAAGGCATTTGACTGTGTAGATCACAATAAATTGTGACTAATCTTGAGGAAAATGGGAATCTCAGAACACTTGATTGTGCTTTTATGAAACCTATACTTGTACCAGGATGCAGTTGTCAGAGCAGAGCAAGGAAACACTGTACGGTTCAAAATCAGAAAAGAAATGTGTTAAGAATGCATCTTGTCCCCGTACCTTTTCAATCTATATGCAAAACAGATCATTAAGGAAGCAGAGTTCATCCTCTAGAGGGTGAAACCAGGCTGTTCTTTGGAAGCAAGGATTCTGAAGCTTCGTCTCAAATATTTTGGGCCTGTTGCAAGGAAGGACCAGTCCTTGGAGAGGGATGTCATGCTTGGACGGGTGGAGGGATGACACAAGAGAGGAAGACCCTCGATGAGATGGATTAACTCAGTGACTGGGGTAAGGGGGTAGGGTAGATGTGTCAGAGACAATAACGTTGGCTCAGCTTAGAGTAGGGTTCAGAGCTGTTGTACACAGGGTCGCTATAAGTCACCGGTGACTTGATGGCTCATAACAAAATAATAATGAATCAGTTCTGATTTGATGACAAGGAGTTTGAGCATTTTGTTTTGCGTTTTTTAGGGGTTCTTTTTAATACTCTGTATGTGACCTTGTTAACATGTAATAAAACCTCATTTTTCCAAACAGGATCCCAGTCATGGGTCCCAGGGGTAGGCCACACTCCCAGGTGCAGGGAGTCGGTTAGAACATGAGCATATGTTTTAGGGGGCACCAGTGACCCCAAAGAGCACTACTGGACGCCTTCTGCTTTGCTTTGCAGTGTGCTGTCCGCCTGGCCAAGACCGTGGGTTACGTAAGCGCGGGGACAGTTGAGTACCTCTACAGCCAGGATGGCAGCTTCCACTTCCTGGAGTTGAACCCCCGTTTGCAGGTTGAACATCCCTGCACGGAAATGATCGCTGATGTCAACCTGCCAGCTGCCCAGCTTCAGGTGAGGAGGTGGGTGTTGAACCCAGCACAGGAGGCTGTGTCTCTCGGGTTGGGCCTGCTCATCCCTCATTGGCTTCTTGTTCTTAGCTCTTCTGAGGTGAGAGTTGCATTGAGAGCCACACCCATTGGGAGCCTTCCATTAAATACTAAACCTTCCTGTAAGCGGTTTCTCACCTTTCCCTGATTATAGTGCCCTTTGAGGAACTGGCAAAAGCTGTTGTCCTTTCCCTTGGGAAATGTGTATTTTATCTCATTTCAAGATCTTCATGGATCCCTTGGAACCCATTAATAAGCGCAGAGCAGCACTCTTGGCCTGTTTTTCATTAGTAGCCCCTGGAGTTCCTGGGTGGAACACTTGACGACTAACCAGGTGATTGGCATTTGGATCCATCCAGAAGTGCCTTGGAAGAAAGGCCTGGCTGTCTTCTTCAGAAAGATCACAGCTGTTGAAAACCCTCTGGTGTCTAGTTCTCTCTGACTTCCATGGGGTCATCATGAAGCAGAGCTGACTCAATGGCAGTTGGTGTGTTGTTTTTTTAAAGCCCTTTTAGGTATTTCCCCCCTCATTCCTCCCATATGAAATGTTAATATCACAGATACTATTGTATATATATTATTTAGTTTTTCTGCTCAGCATTCTGGGAGATGTTTGATTGAACATTATGCTTCACCATTAAACACTTCAGTATAATTATCTTGTAATCATGAACATCCTGTCCATAAGCACAACATAATACCATGCTCGCGAAGTAGAGCATCAACACCATGCATTTATCTAATGTTATAAACCCAGTTTCATTAATGTTAAAAGCTTCCCAGGCATCGTAATAGTGAAAGACAGGCAGTCTTCTCCTGTGCACTTTACAGCTTCAGAAACCCAGTGGGTGGTCAGCTCTGGGTCAGTATGGACTTGATGGCAATGAGGGAGACACCCTGTTTTTTGTTTTAAACTAGGATCTCGTCTAGGATCGTCCATGCCATTCATTTCATATCCCCTTCTCTTTAATCTCCAACAGTTCTCCAGCCCTTCTATGTATTCCTTCTTGACTGTGGCATTTCAATTCTGGGCAAAACATCTTTTCATTGAAATTGGTCTAAATATTTTTTCCCTAACTGGACTCATATTAAAAGTTCAGACAAAAGTTTCGCAGAGGTGATGATGTGTCCTTAAACCAGGAGGTACAGAGAGGTTGTCCTTTTACTGCTGGTTTTAGAGTTGACCTTCTGGCTAAGCCAGTGCCCATAATTGTCTCCTTTTTTTGGCCCATTCTTGAAGCCTTGCTTTCTCTCTGCCATTCACAACACCTTTATCTCTAGTGAGACACCCTTCCTACTTTTTACCTCTCGGCACTGGCTCTCCTCCCATGTGGTTTGCAGCCTCTGAAATCCTGCTGAGGGTCTGTTATGGGTTGGTTCCTGCTTTGCAACACATACAACAGTAGCACTCATGCTCTTTGATTTGTCTTGAATGCATGTGTTTGATATGGCATGATACCATTCCAGTAACATTGCGTGTTTATCCAGGATCACTTTGAACTCTATGGAGCAGCATCATGCCTTTCCCCCCTCCTTTTTCTTACCTCCCCAGCACTTTATTTTTCACTCAGTAAGCGTGAATATGTCCTGAACGATGCATTGAGCTCCCTTGGCATTTTGGCACTGGCTTTCTAGGGGCCTGACAGTCTGTGGATGGATTTCTTGGTTTTAGATTGCCATGGGTGTCCCGCTGCACCGGCTGAAGGATATCCGGCTTCTGTATGGAGAATCACCATGGGGGGTGACCCCCATTTCATTTGACAACCCTACCAACCCTCCCCTGGCCCGAGGCCATGTCATTGCTGCCAGAATCACCAGCGAAAATCCGGATGAGGTAAGTTTTGTGGGCCCCATACCTGCCCATCTCAACCTCTCAGCTTGGGGCAGATCCTGGACCTTAGCCTGGGAAGACACCTCCCAGCCTGGGAGGACACATACCATTGTCCAAACTTGACACTTTATAGGTGAGGAAACTAATTAATACGCAGGAAGACATGAGTCATAGCATGTTGGATGTGTGGTATCACAAATGCCCTCCTTATCTCACTGCTCCAATTACACAGCGCCATCTCTGGCCATTGCAGGGACTGCGGGTAACTGACTCGGCTGCAGTCTGACATCTCCCATCCGGGACCATTAGGGGTGACGCAGCTCAGTCAGTGACCTCCAAAGATGTCCTGTCACTACGCTGTGGCCCGTCTTTAAGATGAGTGGTCAGATCTCAAATCCAGCTCCTTGGATTTCTGGCTCTACTCGTTAAAAAAAAAAAATACAAATTTTGTTTCTTTGTTGTTGAGAATATACACAGTAGAACGTTCACCAATCCCATAGTTTCTCAGTGTCCAATTCAGTGACATGGATTACATTCTCAAAAATATGTTGTCAACTTGATTTCACATAGGTGGTTCTTAAAAGAACATAATACTCAAGAAAGAACTTCTAGTTAAATTAAACTGCTGGTTGGTTTTTTAAGATGACTTCAGCGGCTATTTTGGATTTAAGGTTTAAAGATAATTTCAGGACAGTGGATTTGAGGTGTCATCCAAACCTCTATGGAAATCAGGATTCCAGGAAGCCAATCCAGGAAATCAGGAATCCCTGAGAATTTCACGTTCCAGTCTATGGCTTTACCCATTTTTCCACAGTATCAGTGGGTTCTGGACCCTTGTATGGGGTGGAGTCCCTTTGTGACTTGAACTTACTTGTGTCTTAACCACCTGGCATCTGCCACAACTTCTGTACGTCCCAGTGGTACTTGTTACAGGACTCACTACCCCATTTTATGCGCCCAAATTGTCTAATTGTATGTAATAAAAATGACACATAAGTAATTATATAAATGTAAATTAATTTTTAAAAACAGCCTTAGAGAAATTTGTTTCTTTTTTTAATGAAAGAATTGTAAGTCATGGTACTTAAGTCAATTTGGAAACTTTGACTATGAGTCAAAAGCTGACTTTTGTGAATAAGCAACACGGGGATATTTTTGTAGGCGGGGTGCTGGTTCACAGGTGTCCAGGGGGCTGGAGAACTAGGTTTGTAAATAGAAAGCACTGGACTCTATGTCCTTCCTCTAGGCTCCTGTACAGATAACATGCTCTGTTACACTATTCTGGAGTTCAAACCCCAGCGAGGAAGTCCAGGTCTACCTTACTTACCAGAATTGTATCTATATTTATGTGTATATACATTAGAGCTCTGGTGGCTTAGTGGTAAGGAATCATGCTGCCAACCCAAAGGTACACAGTTCTAATCCACCTGCTGCTCTGAGGGAGAAAGATAGATGGACTGTCTGCTATGCAGTTTACTGCCTCTGAAAACCCCCTGGAGGATTGACTTCTAATATGACATTGCATGACAACAACATAGACAATAAGATACTAGACATTTGCATATAGTTCATTATGGTAATTCCACTTATCATATGATGTGACCATCACTAGATGTGATCATCTAGTTCCAAACATTTTTCATCACCTCCTGGGATATCCTTTTGGGCAAACTGGGCCTGGAATGTAAGGAACCCTGGTAGTACAGTGTGTAATGTGTTGGGCTGCTGACTGAAAGATAGACAGTTCTAATCCACCAGCCACACCGGTGAGAATGCTGGGCAGTTTCTTCCAGGAAAGAGTTACAGCCTCAAGACCCTGTGGAGGGTCCCATGAATTGGATCCCTCTTGATGACAGTGGGGAAGTATAGCTGGAATATGAGGTCATTGGAATACGGAGACTTTGGTTCTAGTCCAGGCTAGTGCACCCCGTGCACAGAGGAGGCTTGTGTGTTGCTATGATACTGAAAAGGTCACAGCAGAGCTTCCCATGTAAGGCCATGCCAGCAAGCCAGGAGTCCTCGTTCAAAAATCCAGCTCTTGAAGGCCCTGTGCCTCCTGACAATCGCCCCTGCAGTCTGGCAGGCAGGAGCGCGGGAGGGTACAGTGCTGTGTACACTGTGCTCTGGGCGGCTTAACGATGACCATGTCTGGATAATGATTTCTTCCATGATGCTTCTCTCTGGACCGCAGGGTTTCAAGCCAAGCTCTGGGACTGTCCAGGAACTCAATTTCCGCAGCAACAAGAACGTATGGGGTTACTTCAGCGTGGCCGCAGCCGGTGGGCTACACGAGTTTGCAGACTCCCAGTTTGGACATTGCTTCTCCTGGGGAGAAAACCGAGAAGAGGCCATTTCGTCAGTATCTCTCATCCTGCCTTCCTTCTTGTGAACAGGCAGCTGTTCTTTGAGATGCAGTAGCATTTTAGGGAGATCATGGGTGGATAATCACATTTCTGTCTGAAATATCTGTGCTGATGTGCCAAGAATCAATCCTACCCTCCTGCCCCCTCCAGCCCCCCAACCCCCCAACCCGCCTTTATTTTTGTTTTGAGCACCACAAATTTAAAAGAGCCCACCTGAGGTCACTTGGCTTTATATTATTTGAAGTCCAACTCAAAGAAGATTCCCCAGTTATTCAGGAAGATGTTAGATTTAAAAGGTGACTGTAATTTACAGTCAACCGCTTGTCACCAACTTGACAGCAGGAACTTTGGTATTTGGTTTGAGACCTGTCATTTTTTTTTTCAGAAAAGGACTGCTTTACATTTAAACCACATCAATAGCTCTTGCCAAGTGTGTATTTCATCCCTGAATTTCCTATGACTGTGTCTTCTGTAAATTGCTTGCCAGGCTGAGGCCTATCTCGGCACTTCCTGTCTGCTGAGCCCAGAGAAGTCCACTCTTTATTTTCCTTCAGATAAAATATTATTTATAAAGAAAAATCCACTCTTGCTTTGCTTTCTGGGGAATTGAGACACCCACGGAAGGACAGCTCTCAAATTCTTCCTTTTTTTGACCTGACTCATAATGAAAAACAAACAAACAAACAACAAAACCCAGCCAAACTTTTTTCTGCTCTTATTCATGAAGTGTCCTTAGGGTAGAAATCCCCAAAGCCAGGGTCCTCCAAAAACCCCGTGAGATTTACAGTTCCTAAAAAGCCACTGGAATTTTCAGCTATGGGTCCATTAAAATTTGATGGTAACAACAACATTGACCCTTCGGTAACCTTTTTTGACCCCAAAGTGACATTTTTTCACACTTGATGATACCACAGAGGAGCTCTTTTTATTTTTTCTTTTTAATTGGTTTGCTTATAGTTTGTGTACATGGTGTTTCACTCTGTTATTCATTCACATTATGTTTCATACAATCATTCTCATGCATTATGGTTTTGTTTTGTTTTTTTCACATCAGATGGATAATGTGCCTATCTTGTGACAGGGTTTAAAGGTGGCACATGTCGTATAAAAAAGCATGAACACCCAGTCATCATGCTCATGAACTGGAAGAGGATGCATTATGTTTTAAAAATTAATTACCATTGGGCTTTGCCCTTCATTATTACCCTGTTTCTTCACCGGAATCCTTCCATTTACTTTCCTCCTACCTCCACTCAGTAAAGATTTGTTTTCCTTCAATTGCTGTTGAGAAGATATTCGGCAAAACAATACTAATGCGACAGTTTCCACATGAACTATTCTGTGATGCTGACTGCATCCTTCTAGTCCTGCACTCATCCCTACCACTTCTTTTTTGAGTTATTCCAGCCATTAACACAAACTCGCTGCCCCCTAAGATATTTTTTTTAACTTTTACGTTGCTGTTTTTAATCTCCTTTTTCACCCCAAAACTCATTGCCATCAAGCTGGAACTGACTCCTAGCTAACCCTCCGGCGGGGTTTTCGGAGGCTGTAAATCACACCAGGGCACATAGCCCGTCTTTCTTTCTCCCTCAGCATCTCTGGTGGATCCAGACCACCAGAGAGGAGCCCTTTGATGCAGACTAGACCAGCAGAGCTCCTAACTCCTTTATTGTTGTTGTTAGGTGCCGTTGAGTTGAGTACGACTCTTAGCAACCTTATGAACCTGTGCCATCCTCGTCATCTCTGACACACTTGAACCCATTGCTGTAGTCGCTGTTTGTCTCATTGAGGATCTTCCTCTCTTTTGTGGACCCTCTGCCGTCTGAAGCATAATGGCCTTTTCCATGTAGCAACATGTCCAAAGTGTGTGACACAAAGCTTCACCAGCCTTGTCTCCAGAGAACATCCTGTCTACACTTTTCCCAAGACAGATCTGTTCTTTTGGCATGCCATTGAATATTCTGTACTTTTATCCAACATCACACTTCAAAAGCATCAATTCTTATAGATCCCTTATAGACCTTTCTAAACAGCACAATGCTTAAGGGAGGTGTTCTTTCCAGTTACACTAAACTGTGGTTTGGTCTTAATAACACTGCAGGACATGTTTTTGGGTTAAAATTTAAAGATGATCTCAGAGCAATAATTTAGAAGTTCATTCCGTTTCTGTGAATCTATAAAGTCTGGATTCCATGAGATCTTGATGTATGGGAGCTCTTAACAAGTGTGAATGTTTTTTACTCCTAGACAGAGATGAATTATAATGTTGTGCCTGTTTCCCCCACCCCCACCCCCAAACACTCATGCTATGAGTTCAGAGGTATGGAAGTGTCTGCCCTTTGGATTGGGACTCTTTGAGGTCAGATGGGATGGTAAACTGTCTGATGAGGTCATACCTGTAGGAAAAGGTAACATTGTTACCCATTTGTGGATACATCCTCCCCACACCTGGCAAAATTGCTGTGTGGCCAATGAGAGGACAATAGCAGCTCAGGGTTCATGGGGAGATTTGAATAGGTTCAATGGGAGAGGAGAGACTAGCGACATTGAGTAGTTAAAATGATTGGAAATATGATGATTAAACATGTTCCTGGTTGCTAACATGTATTGGCCAGTACCATGTACAATATATGAATTGTCATGTTTTAATCCTCAAAGCTGTTATGAAATTGGGATTATTGCCTCATTTCCCAGACTAAGAAACCGAGGCCTAGAACAATTAAGTCACTTGTCCAAGCTGACATTGCCCACCTGGACATCTGCCTTAATTACTGGCTTCTCCTGGCTCTCTAGGAACCACATCACATGAAAGGAAGCAGGAGGATTTGTGTGTATGTATATTAAGTTGCAGTAATGTGCATTTCCCCTCAAGGAACATGGTGGTGGCGTTGAAGGAACTGTCCATCCGAGGAGACTTCAGGACAACTGTGGAGTATCTCATCAACCTCCTGGAGACCGAGAGCTTCCAGAACAATGATATTGACACCGGGTGGTTAGACCACCTCATCGCCCAGAAAGTGCAGGTAGGAGACTGGGAAGTACTGGTGAGGACTGCTGGCCCTCCCGGGGATGTGGTTGCTATGGATACTGACACGTAGTCTTTCTCTTTCTCAGGCGGAGAAACCAGATGTGATGCTTGGGGTGGTGTGTGGAGCCTTGAACGTGGCAGACGCCATGTTCAGGACGTGCATGACGGACTTCCTGCACTCACTGGAAAGGTAGGGTGCGTGGCTGCCGCTGGCTCTCTTTGTCACATGTGCCAGCTGCTTACGTCATTGAGTGCCACTGTCAGGCAAGTGGTGAAGCTCTCCTGTACACATGCCTCTGTGCCATTCCTCGGAAGAGGGGATGGGGATGGGGAGGTAGGAGGAAGATTTGAGGAGTTGAGGCCTCAGGCTAAACAGCCACCAGCATAGTCGTTTCCTGATTGGCACTGACTTGTGTAAGTTACATCCTAGCACTCAGGCATTCACAGTTAAAGGGGGCAGTTTGGTAAGCAAACGAGGTTAACGGCTCCCTGATAAGCAGAGCAGAGTTTAAGGCTCTAGTAGCGCAGTCCATAGGGGTTGCTCGGCTGATCAATCTCCACCTCTCTGGTGGTTCAAATCCACCAGCAACTCCAAGGTAGAAAGATGGCCATTCTCCTCCCATGTGATTACAGCCTCAGAAACCCAATGGGAGATCTCTATGAGTGTCTCCTGACTCAATGGAAATGGGTTTGAGTGTTTTCTTTTTAGTTTTTGTAAAATGGTTAAGGAGCAAGCCCTGGTGGCTGCAAGTCATGCCATGCCAGGCTGTTAACTGAAAGGTCAGTGGTTTGAATCCAAGAGAAAGATGGTGGACTCCTCCCAGGAAGATTTACAGCGTCAGAAACCAGCTGGAGGGTTGGTGTGAGGTTTTGGGTACAATGGTGGTTTTCCCGGCACCTCACCTGACTTAGAAACCAATTAAAATGAGAAATGACTGGCTGTTGTCTGTGAGGTTTTTCAGCCTCACTATTGAGGTGTTTGGGGGGTCATTCTCAGTGTCAGTAGCCTTCCTCTACTCCATGGAGTGTTGAGCTGCGTCCCTGTCCTCTGCTCACTGATGCCAGCAGCACCCTTGGCTTCTCAAATCTTGAAATGCCAGGTGTCGTGTTCAGAATGTGCATTACGGAGCAAATAATGTCTTTGCAGACATGGCCAGTGACCTCAATGGGGCAGCATCGCCCCAACTGAGATAAAATAGTGAAGTTTCTAGCTCTTGTTGTCAGGTGCCCGAGACACACACAATCAGTCTTTGCCCCACTTGCTTTCATGGAGTCCCCACAATGTGAAATCTTCCTGAGAAAAAATGATCATGCAAATTGCTTCCTGAACACACAGTCTAAAATTTCACTTCCTTTGTTGTTATGAACCATGAAGTCAGAGCTGACCCTCCTGCCGGCTTTTAGAGGCTGTAAATCACACAAGAGAAAACTGCCCATCTTTCTCCTATGGAGCAGGTGATGGATTCAAACCACCTGCCTTTAGGATGGCGGTGCAATTCCTTATCACTAGGCCACCTGAGCTCCCTTGACTTTCATTTCCATTTGCTGCTATCATTTCTCCAAATTCTGAGAAGCATCCACTTCTTGGGATTTTCCATATTCCTTTGTCCTTGTGTGTATGTGTTAAAATATGTGTCTGCAGCAACACATTTACCATGCTAGCAGTTGTCATATGCACAACTTACATTAATGCTGTTCACCATATTTTTTTAGCCATCACTCTAACTATTCCTCAGGGCATCCCCCACACTCCCTCGCCCCACTTAACAGGCATTTCAGTCTCCTTTAAGAAGAGAGTCTTCCTTCTTGCCTGCCTCCTACCTGCACCTTGTTAGGTGTTGTCTAACTCAGAGTGATCCTGGGTACAGGACAGTGCAATGTGGACAGAGGCGATCCTGCGCCATCCTCACCGTCTGTTGTTTAAGTCCATTGTTACGCCCCTGACTCAGTCCATCCTGCTGAGAGCCTTCCTCTGTTTCGCTGACACTTTGCCTCACCAAGCATGATGCTTTTCTAGGGACAGAGCCTTCCTGATAACATGTGATGTCTTTCTGTCCTTGTCTCTAAGGAGCACCCTGGCTGCATTTCTAAACTGTTGTTGTGATGTGCCATCAAGTTTTAGAGGCTGTAAATCGCACAGGAGGAGATTGCCCATCTTTTCCCTACAGAGCACCTGCTGGATTTTGAACTTGTGTACCTTTGGGATGACGGGACAGCTCCTTACACTTCAAGAGCTCCCTACACTTCTAAGAGTAATCGCTAATACAGTTTAGTCCTTCTGTATCCACTGCTGTTATTGTTTTTGTGTTCTTTTGACTCAGAATGGACTCCTGGCTGACCCTCTAGTGCCTGCCTTCAGGTGGGCAGCACAGTTTCCTACCACTAAGCTGCCAGAGGTCTTAATGTACTTTCCTATTCTAGATAATACATGCCCTTCTGGGGCTGACTGTATCACTCATGCTGTGGGGCTTGTCAGGACTCCCTTTCTTGTTATGCCTGAGTAATACTCCAGTGTGTGTATGTGCCGCATGGCTATTTACCTAGTGGCCTGTTGAAAGACATTTAAGTGGCTTCCACTTTTTTTAACCCTTAAATTTTATTTATTTTATTAGTTTGCATATAACAATTGCTTTACATTGTTTCATTTATGTACATTGTGTTTTATACAACTTTTCATTTGCATTATGTTTTATATGATCATTCATATGCATTGTATTTTAGATGATGATGATGATTTTATACTGGTTTATTTACAAAGTTTAAATACATTGTTATTCACACCAGATCTTTCCTTTTTCCTTCACCCCCATCAAATTGTGTGACCCTATGATTAACAGCCCCCCGCCCATCTTCCCCCCTCTGCTCCCACCCTCCCCCTCTTGGATCCCCATACCCTTTCTACAATAATGGTTTTATACATTGGTTTCCATTTTTTGGCTGTTGTGAGTAGTAGTGCACATCCACGTCCATGTTTGTGTTCTTGCTTTGAATTTTAGGGGTACAGTGTGGAATTGGTGGATTGTATGGTAGTGCCATGTTGAGCGTTTTGAGGAACCATCAAACCTTTCCACCGCAGCTGTATGGTTTTATAATCCCACGAGCAATGGATGAGAGTTCTAATTTCTTACCACCCATTTTCAGTTTACTTACTGCCTTGGAATTAGAGCTTCTTCAGGACGGTCCAGTTGGTTGGTGCTCAGCAATGGCCAAGAGCTGGATGATTCTTCCTCCCCCTACCCCCCAAACAAGGCAAAAACTGCAGAGTTCTTGGTCCTTCCCAAGATAACACAGACTCCTGTCTTCCTTGTCAGGGGCCAGGTTCTCCCCGCGGATTCTCTGCTGAACATTGTGGATGTGGAATTAATTTATGGAGGCGTTAAGTATATGCTCAAGGTAAGGGTCTTCATCCTTCCCTGACATCTTCCACCTTAGAGGTTTGAGTTACTTGTTTTCTTTCTTCCAGGAACTGTCCCGGGAGAGGAATTTCTCGTGTCAGGATGTGTTGACTTAGTAGTGTGCAGAGGACACGGTGGCAGAGCTTGCAGGGTCTGTGTGAGAGAGCTGTAATGTTATATACCATTGAGTCAGAACTGACTCATAGCCGACCCTTCAGCCAGTTTTCAGAGGCAATAAATCACATGAGAGGAGATTGCCCATTTTTCTCCCACGGAACAGCTGGTGGATTTGAACTGCGAGCCTTTGGGATGGCAGTGCAAATCCTTACCCCTGAGCCACCAGAGCTCTCTACATAGGAGAGCTGTGGACTGGTCTTTTTTGTGTCTCTGAGCCAATAATTCAGGTGGATTTCTGGCCTCTTCTCTCAGGTCTTCCTCAGAGCTGCTTCCTATTGTCCAAAGTATCTGCATATCTCTCCTGGGTCATCCAGTGGCAATTCAAGCAGAGAACATCTGGGTGCGTGAGCTGGATGTGAAGCTGGGAGCCGGAGCTCGGATGAGTGAGGCCTGGCGTCAGCAGCCTGGGCTTGAGTGTAGCTGCAGGAACAGAGTCCCCAGCACGCCCTGCCCTGCCCAGCTCTCCCCAGCCTCTCAATCAACAGAGGGGACAGAGTCGTGTCTGCCTCCAAAGGAGAAGCTAATTTTTCCTGTATTCAACACATAATAAACTCTCAACTTCAGAGACTCTCAGGATTAGTTTGGCAACACGTGGGTGTTGGGCATGGGACATACTCTGAGACCATCATTCAGCCCTTAGCCCAAATCTTAACTACCTTTGGGGATTTGGGTCCTTTAACTTGATTTTTTTTTTAATGTGAGTGATTTCAGGGCATGTTTCCAAAGCAAATTGGTGATCCAGCCAACCATTCATGCCCATTTTATAACATTCACCCAACCATTTTTTTTTTTTACTGTGGTAAAAAAAATACATGTAAAAAAAATACATATCTCAGTCCTTTCTATCTGGATCATTCAGTGGCATTAATTATATTTGCCAAGTTGTACAGTTGTTCTCACCAGTCTTCCCACCATGAAACTTGATTTTAAGTGTCAGTGTTCATTGTCGCAATGTTGAAATCTCAAACCAGCATGAAAAACCAGAAAAACTAACCCATCAGGTACCGACACCTGGAGGTGTCCCTGTTAACAATTGAATGGCTCCCTTATTAGTTGTCATCCACCCACAGAGGACAGGGTTCTGCATTCATAGGGTCATTATGGGTCATACTCAACTCAGTGGCACCTGACCACAGTAACTACCATGCAATTAAGCTCTTTGATGAAGTTGATATCCCATGCAAATACTAGTTTTAGTGCTTTGATGACCACATACTGTTGTCAATACCTTTTCTTTCTCTGAAGTTTAGTGTCTCTGTGACACCTTCCTTTAGAGATTTCTCCAGTGCTGGAAACATACTCTGTGGTCTCTAGTACTACAGGGGCTGCGGTACTGAATTTTCAGTTTCATTTCACTGATTTTTTTTTTAGTTGGTTTGTTTTGGGTTTGTTTGGTTTTTTTTCCCCCTAGATGTAAGGAATTAATGGAAGTAGGGAGGACTGAGGCAGGCCCAGCCAGGGTGTTTGGTTCCTAGGGCAGGTCTAGTTACAACAAAAAACAAACCAACCAGCCACAGAAATGAGGATGTGGGCAGACATCAGATTTGGTCTTGAACTTGGGAGATGGGAAAGTGATGCTCCTTGAGCCTCAGGAATGGGGAGCAGCTGAAAGAAAGCCATGTCTGAGGGGGGCGCTGAGGACCCAGAGGTGGGGAAGAGAAGCAGCTTCCCCTCCCCCTCACCTCAGTGCTGAGGAAAAGGCACTTGGCTTAGTCTCCTGTCTGTGTCCATCCATGAAGCAGATGGAAGTGGGTCCTCAACCCCTGGCCCCTTTTAAGGGCCCTGCAGCCGCTCCTGGTTGAGTTTCTGGATAAAGCTTTTGCCAAACTCATAAGCGCTGGGAGGAATCCTGCAAAGAGTCGCTTGTCCCTGACTCGGCTCGGATCCTCCGCGGCAGCAGCCAGGTAGAGTCCACACGTGGAGGCCTCACTCTCACGGCCTCCATCGCTCCAGCTGGACCTGGCACTGAGTCTTCACCACATCGAAAGGCAGAGTCAGGATGGCTGCCGCCGTCCCTGAGATGCCGCCAGCTATGAAGCTGATGGCCGCAGATGTCTGGTTCTTCAGCCTGGACCCACTTAGCCAGCTCGACACCAGCTCATAGTTGAACCAATATAGAGCGGAGAAGGGCACATCCCGAAGGGCAGTGGGCCCCCAGCCCAGCCACAGAGAGCACCAGCCTCCCTATTTTACTGAATTTTAAGTAGCCACCTGTGGAGAGGGGCGATCTTAGCAGATGTGATTAAAAAAACAAACAAAAGGAGACCCAACTAAATTAAGATCCTTGCTGTCAAGTCAGAACGGACTCTTAGCAGACCCTCTAGAGGTTTTCAGAGGATACGAATCACTGGGAAGAAAATTGCCCATCCTTTTCTTCAAAGAGCAGTTGATTGATTAGCTTGACAGCACAACTTCGTACTCACTCTTGTTGTTGTTGTGTGCCATCGAGTCAGAACCAACTCATAGCTGACCGTCCATTGGGTTTTCAGAGGCAGTGAATTGCATGGGGTTAGATTGCCTATCCTTCGCCTGCAGAGCAGCTGGTGGGTTTGAACCCTGTGCCTGCCCTTGGGATTGCAATGCAGCTTTTTATCACTAGGCCACCAGAGCTCCCTGTTGTTGTTAGGTGCCTTTGAGTTGAGTATGAGTCATAGCGACCTCATTAACAGGAGATCTGAACCCTGTTCTGTCCCGTGCCATCCTCACACTTCCTGACACAGAAGAGCCCACTGCAGCAGTCACCCAGTCACTCCACCTGGTTGAAGGTCTTCCTCTCCTTTGCTGTCCCTCCACCCTTCCCAGCATCATGTCCTTCTCCAAAGAATAGCCTCTCCTAGCAACATGCCCAGTAGAGCTCCCTGTTGGATGGTATGTTGTTATTATATGCCGTCAAGTCGCCCGCGACTCATAGTGAACCTGTGTGCAACAGCTCTGAATCCTGCCCTGTCCTGAGCCAGTCTCATTGACTCTGACCATCTCATCCAGGATCTTCCTCTCTTGTGTTGTCCCTCCACCCTCCCGAGCATGATGTCCTTCTCCAAGGACAATATAGGTCTAACATATTCCATTGTAAAGTTGTTAGTTTGAGTCTAAATTTTACTGTTGTAAAATAAATTTGGGGTGAATATTCTTATATTTCTGTTCTCTTATGCCCCTAAACACATACTTTAGAGAGTGGAAAGATCTGTAGAGAGGCCCTGGAGCTGCAGTGCTGAGTGCTAGCAAAAACCTCAACTGCACCCACCAGCTGCTTCATTCCTTCTCCATCCTCTGCAGTTGTTGTGCAGGTGAATTGGCTTGATGGCAACAGCCCAAGGTCCTTTAGAAGGAGTCCTGGTGTTGCGGTGGCTACACTCTCAGATGCTAACCAAAACATCAGGGGCTTAATCCACCAGCTGCCCTTTGGAGAAAGACCTGGTGACTTGTTTCCACGCAGATTGTAACTTAGATCATGATGATTGTAGCTTAGGCCCCAAATGAGGGCCCTTAGTCACCCTTGGAACCTAGAATGGGACTCACCCTCGTGACTCAACTTGCAGCTGACCAGCAGATGAGCCTCTCAGATGAATTAGCAGCACTGGGAAGGCCCACACGCCTTGGAATAACCAACCGTATACAGTGAAGCCAGTACGAAGCCCAGGAGGATGAAAAGGACAGACTAGCCAGGTTAATGGAAATGAGAATCACACAGAGGGAGTGGGAAGAGTACACCATGAGTATTGTTGTTAATGTAAAACATGTGGGTGAATGGAAAACTGATTGGTGTGGGAAACTTTGACTCAGGTCACAGTGTAAAAAAAGCGAGATTTCAGTGTGGAGAACTGCGCTGGGCAGGATGCCTCTGTCACCTTGTGCTACGTGGGTCGGAATCTACTCCACAGTGCACAGCAGCTACAGGACCCTGTAGGGATTTGCTTTCTGCTTCCCGTCCTGTTTGTGGCTCAGTATATTGAATGGAGGGCCAAGTGAGACCAGTGCTTGAACTGGACTGAAATGCAGAGCTGAGGCTGAGCCCCAAGTGTGCATGCTTCTCATTGCACCCCCCAAAATCTGTAAAGCCTGGGGAGCAATGCCTGATTCCCTTCCAGGCCACTGGCAGAGTGTCACATAGAGCTGGACACCCCTCCTCCTGCCACCTAGGGCAGCCCCACTCAGGCTGATGCTGCTGGAAGACAGGAATCAGGCAGCATCCACCAGCCCCTGATGGCATGTGATCAGGGGGTGATTCCTGGCTGGCACCATGTCTACAGCCATTAGCCTCCTCATGGGCAGACAGCTGAGCGACTAGGCCCTCCCCAACCTCGTGAGCCACTCATGTGGCAGGGGCCGAGTAAAGGAAGCATCGCCCCCCAGTGCTCCTGTGGTGGGACCACATGGGCCTCTAGAAGCCAGGGTCCTGCTGGCCTCCTACAGCCAGGGAGGTAGCATCTGTCTTGTCCCCACAGGTGGCCCGCCAGTCTCTGACTATGTTTGTGCTCATCATGAATGGCTGTCACATCGAGATCGACGCCCATCGGCTGAACGATGGGGGGCTTCTGCTGTCTTACAATGGAAACAGCTATACCACCTACATGAAGGAAGAGGTTGACAGGTATGCTTGAGCAGGGACGGGGTCCTGTCCCACGGCTGTGGGCACATGGCGCCAGCTTTTCCCACTGCTGAGGGCACATGGCACCAGCTTTTCCCACTGCTGAGGGCACATGGCGCCAGCTTTTCCCACAGCTGAGGGCACATGGTGCCAGCTTTTCCCACTGCTGAGGGCACATGGCGCCAGCTTTTCCCACTGCTGAGGGCACATGGCGCCAGCTTTTCCCACATCTGTGGGCACATGGCGCCAGCTTTTCCCACGGCTGTGGGCACATGGCGCCAGCTTTTCCCACGGCTGTGGGCACATGGCGCCAGCTTTTCCCACGGCTGAGGGCACATGGCGCCAGCTTTTCCCACGGCTGTGGGCACATGGCTCCAGCTTCTCTCATGACAGCTGAACATACAAAGACCCCACTGTCTTAGCTCAGATACCCTCTCTGGTCAATTTAGAGAGTGGCTGCAGAGACTGGTTCCTTGACCCAAAACCTTCAATAGAAACTTCCGGAGATGCTTTACTAATCACCCAGAGGGAGTCAGCAGAATAGGGCATGACTTCCCACTCCACTCCTTCCAAGGTCCTGTCCCCTAAGTCCCCAAGGCGTCATGTCTGTACTATCTCAGGACAGAGTTGATTCATGCATCTGCCTAGTTACTACATCTACTGTTTATGAGCTCTGTCTGTGCTAGGCCCTGGGTAGGGTGTTGTGATAAGAGCATGGTCACTACTCTGGGCACTGTCAGTCTGTCAGGGAAGGTACGTGACAAGAAGGTGACCCTGTATACAGGATGCCGTGGCAGCACTTAATGGGAGGCACCACCATATGGGCCTCAGTGAACTTCTCATCCCTGGGAGTCTGGCCAGGCCTTCTGAGATGACAAGTGGAATGGAAATGACTCTGTTGGGTCATCCAGTCAGGAAGAATAAGTAGCAGGCCTCCTCCCCTGAGCTCTAAAGGATGCCATTAGAAAGGGAGACGCCGTCCTTGATGCCTAAGGTGGTGGATTTTATTCAGACCAGTGTGTCTTATTCTCTCATTTTAACCCACAAATATTGTCCTCCCAAGTAATTCAAGATTATTCTATGTCCTGCTGTTGAAGCATGTTTTCTTCAGTTCACTTACAAGGTAGAGATTTTCAGTCAATAGATACTGACTGAATAATATTTATTGATTGGCTTCTCATGCCAGGGCCTGCTGGATCTTTTCTTCTAGAAACAGGCAATATCCTTTGCTCACCCAGCTCACTCATTTTCCCCCCTTAATATAAAATGTGTCATCCTTGCACAGGAGACATGCTGATGTTTAGTATATGTTCTGCCGAAGTGAGCAACCACCTCACTCTTAATATCTCTGTGACAAGTGTCAAAGATAATCAGTGGTTTTCATGGGGCCTTTTTCTGATTCCACTGATAGATTTTTTCAGTTCTTTGGCCAATTTTCCTACTGCCTTCATCACTGTAGGAAACATGTGGCTAAGTGCTACAATATTGGACCCTGCAGGTCTAAAGACAATTCCATTGGGAGGCTGTTGGATAGTTTGTGTGACTCTGACTTTATTATCATAACTATTCCTATATTTCTTGCTGTTGTTTTATCTCCATGGCCTGGATCAGGCACACCTTAGTCTCCAGACTGACATCATTGCTCTTCAGTACTCTGGTGACAGCAGACTCTCCCAGTGCAATTGAATTTTTTATTTCCCAGCTGTTCCCAAGAGTGTTGGTTGTGGAGCTTAGCAAACTGAAGCTGTTAACAGTCTCAATCTCTTCAGTGTTTCTGTGACAACAGTGGTCAGAGATGGTGAGGATGGCACAGGATCATTCTGTTGAGCACAGGGTAGTTTGTATGGTTGAAGACCCTTGAGAGTGTCTGTCTTCTTATCTCTGTCACATTCACTCAGTTCAGTACATTGAGTGGGGGCCCAATGGGATGAGCAGTGGTACATCTTGGCATCAGGTGGTGTCTGTCCCCTCACTCTGTTCTTGAGCATCCTGTTGGACCTTCTCGTATTTTCCTTTTCCATGTTATCATTATGGCAGTGTGTTGATCTCCACAAAATAAATCACTAGGCTTTTGAGTGGGATTGAACTGACTCTACAATGGGTAGAACTCACATCTTGATAGTAGTAGTGTGTCTTCCTATCCCTGAATATGGACTGTCTCTCCGTTTACCTAAATCTTTGAGGCCTTTCATCCAAACATTGACATTTTCCTCATAGAGATCTTGTATGCATATTGTTGTCGTTATGTACTGTCAAGTCAGAACTGACCCATAGCTGACCCTCCAGTGGGTTTTCAGAGACAGTATATCACACAGGAAGAGTTTGCCTGTCTTTCTCCCTCGCAGATGCTGGTGGATTTGAACCGTGTGTCTTGGTTATTTTATTGTTAATGTAAGTGGGATGCTTTTAACTTGAAGTTCCAGTTGTTTGTTGCTGAGATATAGAAAGGCCATTGAATCTTACGTTTTAAATTTGTGTCTGAAGCCTTGATATAATTGATAATTAGTTTTAGTTTTTGTAATAATGATCAAAGGCTGTTGTTTGGGAATAAAGACTCCTCAAGGACACAAATAAGGATGACAGAAAAAGAATTGACACCTTTGAGCTTTGATGTTGGACAAAAGCACTGAGCATTGCATAGACGACCAAGAGAATGAATAGATACGTCTTGGAGAGGGTGCAGCCAGAGTGCTCTTTGGAGACAAGATGAAGCTTCCCCTCACATACTTTGATCATGTTGCTAGGAGGGGCTGTTCCTTGGAGAAGGACATGATGCTGGAAAGGGTGGAGGGTCAGCAAAAGAGAGGAGGACCCTCTACCAGGTGGACTGACACAATGACTGCTGCATTGGGCTCATGTGTGTGAGGAAGTATGGGGATGGCGCAGGATAGAACAGGGTTCAGGTCCGTTGTTCGTAGGGTCATTAAGAGTAGTGCTCTTAATTTTTGGACTCATGTACTTATAACTTGTTAGTCAAATTTGGGTCTTCTAGGTTGCAACACCCCCATGATACATCTTCAAGGATATGAACATGTACAGCCAAGCACAATCAATAAGAGTGCATCTAAATTCCAAAATCAATCTCCATAATAGTCTATGTGTTTCCTATTGCCAAAGGGGCCCTTTAGAGTAGTGAGAGAAGATCTTCACCCTGAAACCCACAGCGTCCCTTTTCAGCAGGAAGTAGCTAAGAGAATACGTCATCCCCTTTTCCTTATGAATCAGGGTGAAGTCTCTCTCAGGGAGGAGTGATAGGGAATGGCAAAGGACACACTGACAAAGAAGATTAATCAGAACTGGCTTTGACAAGCACTGTGGCATTTGGACAAGAACAAACTGGGAGGAGGGTAGAGAGAATAGTGCAACAATGAATGAGTGGAAGCCCAAAATCTCTGTAAATGTTTATGAAAATTAATAAAATATAATTATAGAAAAAAAAAGAACCAAAAAAAAAAAAAAAAAAAAAAAAAAAAAAGAGTAGTGCTCTACTCGACAGCACCTAGTAACAACAAGGACCCGTAGAGGGTGGTGCCTTTGTTGTTGCTATCAGCTGCCATCAGGTCTCTGAGTCACAGGGACCCTGTGCTCAACAGAATGATCCTGTGCCATCCTCACCATCTCTGACCTTTATTGTCATAGAAACACTGAAGAAATGGACATTAACAGCTTCAGTTGGCTCAGCTCCACCATCAACACTCTTGGTACCAGCAGCCAGGAAATAAAAATTGCATTGGAAAGTCTGTTGTCAGGGACCTCACCAGAGCACTGAAGAGCAATAATGTCACTCTGGAGACTAAGGTGCTCCTAATCTAGGCCATAGTCTTTGCAGTTACTTGCTATGCATCAGAAAGCTGGACAATGACTAGGGGTGATGAAAGGAGATTTGATGGCTTTGAGCTGTTGTGCTGAAGAGTGTTGAATATACCATGGACTGCTAGGAGAACAAACAGGTTCAACCTGGAAAGGGTGAAACCAAGCTGTTCCTTATAGACAAGGATTCTGAGGCTTTGTCTGACATACTTTGGGCATGTTTCCAAGAGGGACCAGTCCTTGGAGGGGGACGTCATGCTTGGGAGGGTGGAGGGAAAGCACAAGAGAGGAAGACCCTCAATGAGATGGACTGATTCAGTGACTGGGGTATTGAGGGTAGGTGTGTCAGAGATGATAAGGTTGGCTCAGGATAGAACAGGGTTCAGGGCTGTTGTACATAGGGTCTCTACGAGTCACGTCGACTTGACAGCACATAACAAAAACATTTAATTTTATTGAAAGCCTGGCTTGGGCTTACCAGATTTACAGGCCTCCTCTGCCCTCACTCCCTCTCGCTCCCAGTTACCGAGTTACTATTGGCAACAAGACGTGCGTGTTTGAGAAGGAGAATGACCCCTCAGTCCTGAGATCGCCGTCGGCTGGGAAGCTGATCCAGTATACAGTGGAGGATGGGGGCCACGTTGAGGCTGGGAGCAGCTACGCCGAGATGGAGGTGAGCACAGAGTGGCTCTCAGGGTTCCCTCTCTGGGGGCTGGGACCTATGGCCTCTCTCCACCCACACTCCAACAGAGAGTCTCTGTCATAACTTGTGGGTGCAAGGAAACAGCACATCTCTTACCTTGGCCACTGGGTGCCTGTCCCAAACCAGACCAAGTGTGTGTGATTCAACCCAAATGCCCTTCCCTATTCAAAGTGGTACAACACTTGTCTGTCAGTTTTGCAGTTGGGGAAACTGAGGTTGATAGAGGGAAAGTACTTGCTAGGACCACAGAGTACTGATGAGTGGTGGGGTTGCCTGGCTGACCCTGGTTCCTGTGATCCCAGCGACTAAGCCACAGGCTCTCTCTTGACTCACTGGCATGTAACAAACCTGCCCCTATCCAGATGCTCAGAGGAGGCAAATGAAAGGGCCTGATGCTGTACTGCCAGCAGACTTCTTCATCTCCTGAAGAATTCCCCAGAGGGTTTGTGGTGTGTGTGTGTGTGTGTGTGTGTGTGTGTGTGTGTTTAGGATGCTTTTAGGATGTCAGCCTTTAACAAAACAAAATGCTTCATATGCCATGTGTTATTGCTGCCGTTGTTATATGCTGACAAGTTGGAACTAACTTATAACTGATCCCCTGGTGGGTTTTCAGAGACTGTAAATTGGATGGAAAGAGACTGCCCCTCTTTCTCCCACAGAGCAGCTAGTGGATCTGAACCACTTACCTTTGGGTTGGCAGCACAACGACATACTCACAAGGCCACCAGAACTCTCTCACTACACAGTAGGAATATATATCAATACACACACACACACACACACACACACACACACACGTTGTTATTGTTGTGTACTGTAGAGTCGGACCCTCCAGTGGGTTTTCAGAGGCAGTTAATCACACAGAAGAAGATTGCCCATCCTTTCACAGAGCAGCTGGTGGATTTGAACTGTGTGCCTTTGGGATTGCAGCACAGCTTCTTGCCCTATCCACTTCCTAAACAATATACCTCTGGAAACTTTGAGAAATGACAATAGTTATAGAAAGGCTTCAGGTCTTTTGTTCATAGGGTCGCTAATGAGTCATGCTCGACTTGACGGCAATCAATAACACACAGACACACACACTCACATATGTTATTATGTACTGTCGAGTCACTTGCAACTCATAGTGACCCTATGTACAATATCTATCTATCTATCTATCTATCTATCTGTCTGTCTGTCTGTCTGTCTGTCTGTCTGTCTATCTATCTATCTATCTATCTATCTATCTATCATCTCTGTCTGTCTAGCAATCTCACGTTGTGTAATGCCCTTTGTGATTACATTTCTAAGAGAAAGGCTTTACTTTGGAGATGATTGTCATTTCCCAGGTTTGTAGGCTGGGGATGTTAAATACCGACCTCAAGAACAAGTTAGGGAACTCTAGTGGCCTGGTGGTAAGGAGTCATGCTTTCAGTGCAAAGGCACGTGGTTCAAATCTGCTAGCTGCTCTATAGGAGAAAGATGGGCACTCTCCTTACACATTATTTACTGCATCTGAAAACCCACTGGAGGGTGAGCTATGAGTTGGTGCCAGCTTGAAGGAACACCACCACCACCACCACAGAGTTGGCTCTTGCAGTTCGTTCTTGGGACACACCAGGCCTGGCACCTTGCCTGCTTCCAGAAGCGCTTGTCCCTGCTGTCCTCCTCTTTGTTTGAATCCTGCCCGGGTTCCTCCCCAGCTCTCATTGGTGCTGGGCGTGACACCAGCCATCTTGCTTTGTTTCCGCCGCATAGGTGATGAAGATGATCATGACGCTGAATGTGCAGGAGAGCGGCCAGGTGAGGTACATCAAGCGGCCGGGCGCCGTGCTGGAGGCCGGCTGTGTGGTGGCCAGGCTGGAGTTGGACGACCCTTCCAAAGTGCACCCGGTAGGTGGCGCCCAGCTTCCCGAGTCGCCCAGCGATCCCCCGCCTCTGTCTGGTGCAGGCACAACAAAGCCTCCTGTGCTCTCTCCTCTCTGTATTCCCCTGAGCATAAATCCCACATTCTTTGACAGCTCTGATGTTCCTAGCTGTCGTGGAGCCATCCCTGACTCCTGGACACCCAGGATACAATGGAACACAACACAACACTGCCCAGGCCTGTGCCATACCAGTACCATTGTAATTTACAGGGCTTTCATTGGCTGTTTTTTTTTGAAGTAGATTGCCAATCTTTTCTTCCTACTCTCAGTCTGCAAACTGTGCTGAAACCTGTTCAGGATCATGTTGTTGTCGTTGTTAGGTGCTGTCGAGTCGAGCATGACTCATAGCGACCCTATAAACAAAAGATCTGAACCCTGTTCTGTCCTGCGCCACCTTCACACTCCTGACACACAAGAGCCCATTGCAGCAGTCACCGTGTCAGTGCACCTAGTTGAGGATCTGCCTCTCCATCGCCGGCCCTCCACTCTTCCCAGCATCATGTCCTTCTCCATGGAATAGCCCCTCCTAGCAGCAAATCCAAAGTACTTGAGGCAAAGCCTCGTCAGTTTTACCTCTAAAGAGCACTCCAGCTGCACCTTCTCCAAGACATGTTCTCTTGGCCAGCCATGGGGTGTTCAGTGCTCTTCTCCAGCACCACAGGTCAAAGATATCTATTATTTTTCTGTCTTCCTTATTCATTGTCCAGCACTCACATGCATAGCTAGTAATATCGCAGCAACCTGCAAAGCCCCTATTGATAGACAAATGGTGGCTGCATATGAAACACATTGACTAAGACCAAACCCGAGTCTCCTGTCTGCACAGGAAGTGAGAATTTGACAGCCTGCAAGAGCCCCAGTGAACTGTCCTCCCTGTTACTCCTGCTTCATTCTCTCCCTCAGTTCCTGCTGAATCAGACCTGCTGGGCCTCTCCCACCAGGAGACCATCTACCTGGAAGGACATTCCCCAGACATTTTCAGGGTTCCCCTTTCACTGCTTTTGAACGTTACTCAGACACAAATTTCCCACGTGAGGCCTTCCCCAGTCATCCTGTCGTCGTCGTTGCTGGTAAATAAACAGAGGGGCAGTTTTAGATTTATTACAATGTTGTGAAGATAATATACAGACCCAGTGCCATCTGTGACTACATCTCACATTCATCACTGTTACAAACTTGATCTGTGGCAACCTGAGGGGACAGAGTAGCCTGGCCCCATAGGGTTCCAGGACTCTCAGTGCATACAGAACTGGACTCCACACATCTTTCTCTCAGGAAGTAGTAGCTGGTGGGTTCAAAACACCAAATCCTTTGCTTAGCAGCACAGTGCTTAAACCACTGCACCACCCACGCCCAAGGAGCCACTATGAATGCATTGGTTTTTTTTTTAATTTTTAAATTTTTTTAATGCATTGTTATTACCTAAAGTTCCTATTTTCTTTTTTAAATTTTATGCTGGTTTACATACAAAGTTTATAAAATTCTTTGTCATCCTTTCATTTACCCATCCCTCCCTTCGCCCATCAAATTGTGTGACCCCATGATTAAGCCTCCTCCCTCCCCTCCTTGGATCCTCATACTTGTTCTACAATAATGGTCTTATACAGTATTTGTCCTTACAAGACTGAGTTAGTTCACTCAGCATAATGCTCTCCAGTCCCTCCCAAGTTAGGTAGTAATTTACAGAATGATTGCTCCTACATACTGTGTAGTATTCCATTGTCTGAATGTACCATGATTTCTCAATCCATTCCATTGTGGTTGGGCATTTGGGCTGTTTCTTGTGATGATGAATAACGCTGCTATGAACATTGGTATAGAAGTCTGTGCTTGTGTCTCAGCTCTCATCCTCTCAGGGTATATTCCAAGCAATGAAATAGCTGGGTCATATAAAATTTCTGTTTTCACCTTTCCAGTGCAATTTCCCACCTTTTCAGGCTCCATTCTAATTACTTACATACGTAGCGGATCTGCTTCTCTCCTCAGCTCACCTCACTTCACTTGGGATCCCACAGTGTCTTGACCTCTCCCTCTTGGGTCTCTCCTCAGGCTGAGCCCTTCCTGGGGGAGCTCCCTGCCCAGCCCACTCTGCCCATCCTCGGGGAGAAGCTGCACCAGGTGTTCCACAGCGTCCTGGAAAACTTGACCAACGTCATGAATGGCTACTGTCTTCCTGAGCCCATTTTCAGCATCAAGGTGAGTCACCAGGGGTCCTGGAGCCTTTATGCTGTAAGAGCAGAGGGCTTTGTTTAAGGAAATGAGGAAGCAAAGTGGAGAGCTGTGGCTATTGATTCCCACTCATGGCAGAAGAACTGAGCTCCGTAGAGTTGTCAGTGGCATATTGTTCAGCTGGAGATCACTAGGCCTTTCTTCTGAGGCTCCTCTGGGTGGATTTCAGTTAGTAGTTGATTGTTTAACCATGCCAGCTGTTGTTGTTTTGTGCTGTTGAGGTCAGAACCAACTCAGAGCTGACCCTCTGGTAGATTTTCAGAGGCTGTAAGTCACATGAAAGATTACCCCTCTTTCTCCTGCAGAGCAACTGGGGAATTCGAACCATGTACCTTAGGATTGGCAGCATAATTCTTTACCACTAAGCCATCAGATCACAAGTTAAACCCCCTGCCATTGAGTCTATTCCAACTCCTACTTACCCTGTAGGACAAAGCAGAACTACCCTGTAGGGTTTCCAAACTGTAACTCTTTGGAAGAGTTAATCAGAAGGAGGTAGACTGCGTTATTATTCTCCTGAGTGCAGCTTGGGGATTTGAACTGCCAGTGTTTTGTTTAGCTGCCTAATGCCTTAGCACACCACCACTAGTACTCCTCCGTTCAAGCAAAGGAACGTGCAAAGCAACAGCTGTTTTAATAAGGCAAATAAGGTGTCTTTTTGCACGTCAGTTCCTCAGCCCGACTGTAACGACTCAGCATATGCTTCCTCTCTTGATGATACGAAGAAATAGTAACATTAAAAAGTAAATACTGCTTTTCAGTGAAAAAACTCGATCTTCACTGGTTCCATTCAGCTGAAGACTGGAAGATGTTCAAATAGGACGTTGAGAATGGAAGCTGTGTGTCAGCTCTCTGGGTGAACAGAGAAACAAGGCACTTGATTTGGGAATACACCTGTGATTAATACACCATTCTGATATCTTCTTGTCTGCTCACTCTGTTGAGAAATGGGTAGTTTCCAGATTTACAGACTGCTGACCTGTGATGCTAAAGCTGATGTCACTAATGACAGCATCATGTGCGGTTTCTCATTCTGCATCTTACTGGCACATGATGGCAGCAATAGTCAGCCTTGTTTAGCATTTTCTATGTGTTCTGACTTCACTGCTCTGAGCCTATAATATTTACTTTCAGTTAATCCTCCTGACTTTCTGACATAGGGACTGATAATATTACCTTTCTACAGGATAGAAACTAAGGTAAAGAGATGCTAAGAATCTTGCCTTATGTTACAGGTGAAGAGGCAAGGCTGAGGTTTGAACTCTGGCCTTCTGGCTCAGAGTCCGTTTTCTCAACTCCCATGCTCTGCTGCCTAGTTGTAATGGCTATAGTTGTAGCATTTGTGTAGCCATTGCCAGCAATGTGCATTCTTGTACATTTAACTTCACAACATGTTTGCAGTTTACAACTTATAAAATCCTATTGGAAGGTTAGCTGTGAGTTGGTTCTGACTTGACTGCAGGGTGTTAATAGATCTATCAAAATCTATCTAACTCTTTATATATATCTGTCTATACATGAAAGAGTATTTTATTCCTAGTATTTTCATCTCTTTTTTGGCTACAAGTTGAGAAGAGGGTCTAGAGCAGGCAAAAACAACCCAAAATAACAAAGCCCATTGTCTAGAGAGCCAAAAATGGGACAGTTGAGGCACAGGGCTGTGAGCACCTCTCTAAAAGGGCCAGAAGGAGTCAGGATAGTATAGACCCTCACTGCTCCACAGTAGACAGCAGATAAAGAGCCTGCAGGCTAGCCTCAGGGCACTTCTAGAGCCACACCAGCAGCAAGGGGGTTCATTTATTCATTGCTGATTCACAGATGCACAGTTGTGGTATGAGAATGAGGTTTATTAGGGAAGCAACTTGGAGAGTAGAAGAGGCACAGAATATCACCAGTACAAGTCCAGGTCTTATCCCAGGTTCCAGCGCACCATTCCTCAATTAGTCCAGGCCCTGGTTTCAGTTCAGCAGCCAAATCCAAATCATCTAGCAAGGTTTGCTTCAGAGCTGTTATAAGTCACCTTCTCCTTCAAGTATCTGACAAGAACAGCAAAAACCCTTTAACTATGGCCAGCACAAATGCAAGCCTCAGGTCACACCTTGCCATAATTTCTTCACAGCAATGCCACGGTCTCTCCACCACCATCACCAGGGTCTTGCTCCAGTCTCCCTCAAGTCTTACCACCACAAGTCTTGCTCACCTCAAGTCTTGCTGCTCAGTGTGGGAAGCACTCTTTCTCTTATCCTTATCCCATAGCTATTGGTGATTTGCAAGACCATACTGATTTTAAAGACCATGTGCCTGCAGCTAAGGTAGCTGACCTGAGGGAGCTAACTGTAATGGGTAAAAGAAGCCAACTTTTAGCCTAACATCACCACATACATTGACCTCCAATTATTGAAATATCCCCAGAAGTACTACCCAGTAGGTGTTAAGAGTCTCTGGAGTTGTTAGATCTGTTTGAATCCTGGCTTTGCTTCTTACTGGTTGGATAATGTTGGGAAACTTAATTAAGTTCTCTGCTTTAGCATTGTTAAGGGTAGACTCAGAACAGTAATCCTCCTTTTCTGTAGGGCAGTCCCTGAGAACCAAACAAAAACGTATACAGGTCAGAGACCTTCAAATAGTGTAGGCCTTGCCTGGGAGGTGTCCCCAGCATTGTCTCCATGCAGGGTCGTGTGTCATGCTTCTGCTCCATTCTGGTGCTCTGGATGTGTGAAGAGGAGAGAGTTGCCTTGTTGTGGATGAAGCTGGGTGTTTCCTAGGCAACCTTGAGCAGTGGGAGACATCCCACCCTGGATGAGAGTAGAGGATGTGGGGCACATGGGACCTGGGTAAGGTGCATTGTGGGTTATTCCGGGTACCTGCTGCAGCTGAAGGAGTGGGTGCAGAAGCTCATGATGACCCTCCGGCACCCGTCACTACCACTGCTGGAGCTACAGGAGATCATGACCAGTGTGTCGGGCCGTATCCCTTCCCCCGTGGAGAAGGCCGTGCGCAGGGTGATGGCCCAGTATGCCAGTAATATCACCTCGGTGCTGTGCCAGTTCCCCAGCCAGCAGGTATGTACCCCTGCCTCACCCGGCCCCCTGATGCTCGTGGGCTCTGGTCCTCCTCTGATGTGCACACCAAGCTTCCTGAGACTCACTTAAAGCCATAGATTGTTGAGCTTGAGGGTTCTCTACCACATCGCCCTGCAGAATCTGTACATTTCCTACAAAACAGTGGTTGCCTGAGTGCACGTCACCAATCTTGAGGCTTTACATGCTGCAGAACAGGAGCAAACAGTAGGTACAGCTAGAGAGAACATTTTCCCTAACATTGGCTGACATCAAGAGGAGTGATCTTTTTCACCACCTTATTTGCACTTTTCATTCTCTCAGCCGTTTTTGTGAGTTAACATCTTAGGGCCATCCATTCCAGGATGGGATAGAGGTGCCACCGTGAATGCCACATTCATCTCATTTTCTTGTTGTTTTTGTCAAGAATTTGAGACACAGTTTGTATCAGCAGTTGTTGTTATGTGTCATCAAGTCGGAACTGACTCGTAGCTCACCCTCCAGCAGGTTTTCAGATGGACTAAATCACATGGGAGGAGATTGCCCATCTTTTGCCCGCAGAGCAGCTGGTGGATTCGAACCACATGTCTTTTAGTTAACAGCACAGCTTCTCACCCAGTAGGCCAACAGATCCCTGTTGCATTAGCAGAGCACCTGCTTACCCTTCTGCCCTCTGTCTGGTTGGCCCTGCTTGTGGTTTGCGAAGGTAGAGGTCAACCAGAATACAAGTCAGTCCCAGAGGTAGCAGCTCCAGAGGACAGAATAACATTCAACCAGAAAGAGAACAATGTGTTGATCCTTGCTGCCACGTGGGTGAACCTCAAAAACAAGATGTGATTTGAAAGACATGAGACCCAGAAGGCCATGTAGTGTAGGTTAGCATGTCCGCTACTGGCACATCCAGATGCAGAAAGTGGATTAGTGGTTGCCAAGGGTCAAGGTCAATGAGAAGTAGGGAATGATTGCCATTGGGTACAAGGGTTCCTTTTGTGATAAAAGCATACCAAAATTTAATAGGGATGACAGTTCCATACAATGATAAATTGTACACTTGGGAAAAAAGAGGCATATTATGTATGTAAATTGTTGTTCATGTTGCTTGAGACTCAGAGAGACCCTATGTACAACAGCTCTGAACCCTGCTCTATCCTGTGCCAACCTTATTGTCTTTGACACACCTACCCCCATTACCCCAGTCACTGAATCAATCCATCTCACCTAAGGTCTTGCTCTCTTGCGCTGTCCCTCCACCGTTCCAAGCATGAGGTCTCCAGGGAAATTCTTTATCAATTAAAACATTGCACTCCTCATCCCCCACCCTGCGACTCTTTGCCCTCTTTCCTGTAGCTATCCCGATTTGTCCCCAGGGGTCACCCATACATGCCCACATCCTTGTGTGACACCTGTCACCCTGAGCTCTTGAATGCCCTGAGCCTGAAGCTCACAGGGGAAGAATGGGCTTGGCTCTGGGTGGCTGGAGGTGGTAGGGAGGCAGGGGGCGGGTGGGAATTTCTGGTCTCTAAATGAGCCTTGGACAGGCCTCTGTAGGAGCCGTGGGGGGTCCTTCCAGTGACTTCTCTGTGTCGAGTGGCCAGTCCTGTTTTCCTGTCCAGATAGCCACTATCCTAGACTGTCACGCAGCCACACTGCAGCGCAAAGCTGACCGCGAGGTCTTCTTCATGAACACCCAGAGCATCGTCCAGCTGGTACAGAGGTGAGTTCTGGGTGTTGTGGGGCGGCTGCCAAACATCAGTATACTGTTGCACCAGTGTGCAGCCTGGGTGTGTGTGTGCATCTATTCCTCTCATTACAATTTAACTCTTTTCAGAAAAAAAAATCTGCACATCCAAACATGTTCCCATTTCACTGTTTCTACTTAGATTTGAGGGTCAGGTGTGGACTGTTTGGTTGTATTTATTTTGTTCAAAATCTTGTGTGAGCTGATTGGATTTGCCAGGTTTAGCTAACAATGAGCTGTGGGCTGGAATCCTCTTGTTTGGAGTCAACCATGACCTGTGGGTGGGCCCTTGGGCCTGGTGTTAATTGTGTTTGGGATGAAGATTCTTCTAAGTGGTACAGCACTGGTCTGTCAATTTACTATACTGAAGTAACTTGGGGTTACTGTGAGGCTGAATGCTGTGCCACTGTTGTGTCAAATGTCATAATGGTTTTCCATTGTGGACAGTGTTTGGTGGAGCTCCCAGACTGAGACAGGCTTGGAAGCAGGAGCAACATCCACTTCCTAAACAAATTGCCTCTGGAAACTATGAATGTAGAGAAATGAGGATAGTTATAGAATAGGGTTCAGGTCTTTTTTTCATAGGGTCACTGTGCTCACCTCGACAGCACTTAACAGCAACAACAACAACAACTTAGATTTGTGGTGTTGGAAAAGAGTCCTGAATATCCCACAGACGGCCAGAAGAACAAACGTGTATGTCTTGGAGAAAGTGCAGCCAGCATGCTCCTTAGAGGCAAGGATGGTGAAGCTGCATCTCACATGCTCTGGGCACATTGTTAGGAAAGGCAGTTCTTTGGAAAGGTGGAGAGGGCCAATGAAGGAGAGGAAGACCCTCAGTGCAGTGGAGTGACACAGTGACTGGAACAATGGAATCAAAAGTATCCGAGATAATGGGACTAGTGCAAGCCTGGCCAGGTTTCAGGTCAGTTGTTTATAAGATCATTATGAATTGTCCTCAACTCGAAGACATATAACAGCAACAACCTTGCTCAGTGACATGAGATGAGTAGAGGGGTTCATGTTGGGGTGATGTATACTTCACACCATGTCAAAATTCTTGGTATTTCTGCTTGAATTTTTTCACCTCCATTAATTTAGACCCACTGTCTTTGAACTAGCTTTGTTGTTGTTGTTGTTGGTTGCCATTGAGTCGAGCATGCCTCATAACGACCCTATGAACAAAAGGCCTGAAGCCTTTCTATAACTATCATCATTTCTCAAAGTTCATAGAGTTACCAGAGGCATGTTCTTTAGGAAGTAGATGCCACTGCTGTTTAGGACTACTGTTTTCCCTTTAGTCTCTTCAAGATATTTTTGTTGTTGTTTGTATAAAAACATAGTACTTAACAATGACTAGAAAAATGATGTCACGCTGTAAAAGGTGGAAGAGCAGAGAAAGACAGAAAGATGCTCAACAAGATGGATTGACAATGGCTGTAACAATGGACTTGAGTGTATCAGAGATGGTGAAGATGGTGCCGGGCAGCCCAAGGCCACCATTGTTGTTGTTAGGCTGTTGAGTCGAATATGACTCCTCGAGACTCCATGAACAGCCGATGTCAACCCTGCCCTATCTTGCACCATCCTCATCATCTCTTACACACCGGAGCCCGTTGCTGAAGTCACCATGTCAATCCATCTCTTTGGGGGTCTTGTCCTCACTGACCCTGTATCTTTCCAAACGTGAAATCCCTTCCCAAGGAATAGCCTCAGCTAGCCACATGTCCCAAGAATGAAACACAAAGCTTTGCCATCTGTACTTCCACGGAGCACTCTGGCTGCACCTTCTCCAAGATATAGCTGTTTATTCTTTTGGCAGCCCATGAGATATCTTCCCCAACCCTACAACTCAAAGGCACCCATTAGTCATTGTCAATTTGATGGCAGCTATAACAACAAATAAGGTTGATGATTTTTTAATTTTTTATCTACATTGTTTTGTTTTCTTGTTTGCATTGGGATTCGGGTAAAAGTTTATAGGGCAAATCAAGTTTCCATTCAGTAGATCCAACACGTTTTCCTTCCTTCTACCTCCCTCCTTCCTGCTTGTCTTCTGAACTCTTGAGCAGATACTGACCCTTTGATCTCGAGTGGTTGATTGTTCTAAGGAACAATGTTAACTCCCTAGTGTCACCTCTCACCTTATAAACCAGGATGTATTCTGGCTGGAAATTGAGTACAGGGCCAAGTTCACTTATTGACCAGGGGTGGCTGGTCTCAAGGTTCCACCAGTCTCTTTTTGACCAGTAATCCTGCTTTTTTTTATGATTTTGTGCTTTATTTCCCATGTTTTGCTCACACTCTCCCAAACTTTCCAGTGTGGCCCTTTAAGAGTGCTCAGCAGTGGCAGCCGGGCACCATCTAGTTCTGGTCTTGAGATCATAGATGCTGAGGCTCACATGGCTTCCTTTGGACCGACTGATTAATGTGTCTTTGATTTTGTTCCTGCCTCTTTACTCTGGATGAGGAGAGACCAATAGTTGGCTTTTGGAAGGCAACTCATAAGCTTCTAAGATGTCAGTATCTTTTTTTATTGTTGTTTAATGGTGACTTAAGGGAAAACTTTTGATTCAAGCTTTGATGTCTGTTCTGGGGCAGTAGTCTCAAAGCTTCTTCTTTGAGTGGGTCCAGTCGGTGAGAATTCTCTGATAATTTGAACTTCTAGTCCACAATTTTCTGCCCTTTCTGTCAGGATCCATCTATTCAGTCCCCAATCAAAACATCTGGTATTGGTAGCAATCAGAACATCTGGTAATCCTGGCAGTCAAAACATCTGGTTTAGCAAGGCTCTATGTAGTTCTTGTGGCTTCATGTTAGCTGAAGCAGCGGTTTATGGATGGATATCTGGTGATTCAGCGGGTTAGGAGTTGTACAGCCATCTCAAAGGCAAGCAGTTCCAATCTACCAGCTGCTACATGGGAGAAAGATGGTCAGTCTCCTCCCATGCAGTTTACAGGTTCTGGAAACCCCAGGAGGATCAGTTCTAACTCTACAGCACATAACAACAGTGTTAGTCCTGTGGTCCAGTTACTTCTTTGCTAGAAGTTTATTTTAAGGGCAGGCTCAAACCATATGAGGAATGTATGGTGAGGAACCTGGAAGATCTCAGTTATGCAAAGCTACTGAAGATATTTTACTTCTGACTCTCCATGTGCCAGTTGGTAAGAATAAAAATGATTCACAATAAGGAATTTTGATTAGTCCGTGGATTAATTTTCATTACAAACTGGCACATACCAAACAAGAATGGTAGCTTTGACTGTGACACAGTGTGATGAAATGGCTTTATACGCAATAACCAGCTGATCCATTGAATCTCAACTTCTTACAGCCCCCTGTGTGTGAGAAGGACTCCATAGATTTTCAGTGGCTGATTTTTCACAATTGCCAGGCCTTTCTTCCATGGTGCTTCTAGGTGGATTTGAACCACCAATCTGTCAGTATCCAACTACATAGATTTAACCTTCTTTTGCATCATCTGGGGATTCCTATTCAGGATAAAGAGCTTTAGAAATTGCCCTTGTGGAGTTTAGGATTTTTTTTATAGGTTGTTGGCGCTGTCATGTAAAGAATGACTTGTAGAGACCTGTGGACAGCAGACCTGAACCCTGGCCTCTCCTGCTCCATCCTCATCGTCTCTGACACACTTGAGTCCATGGCTGCAGTCACTGTGTCAGTCCGTCTTGTTAAGGGTCTTCCTCTCTTTGCTTGACCCTCTTATCTTTCCAAGCATGATAATCCCTTTACAAGGAGTAACCTCTCCTAGCAACATGCCCAAAACTTGTGAGACAAAGCCTTTTCATCCCCACTTCTAAGGAATACTCCCGGCTTCCCTTTTCCAAGACTTATCTGTTTGTTTTCCTACAAGTTCATGGGATATTCAGTACTCATCTCCATCACCACAGTTCAAAGGTGATACTTCTGTCATACTTACTCATTGCCTAGTTCTCAGATGCATAGCATGTCACTGAAAAGACAATGACCTGTATCAGGCATACCTTAGTCTTCAAACTGACATTGTTGATCCTCAATATTTTGGAGAAGTCCTTGACAGTGGACTTTCTCAGTGCAATACTTCTCGTGACTGCTGGTACCAAGGGGTCTGAGTAAATTCTTTGTGTTTGATCTCAAGTTATTAATGAGCAGACATAGTCTCCTGGAGAATAACTACTATATTGCATGGCAAACTCGCCTAGCAAGAAATCATTCCTTTTAAGATAATATCAAACTAGAATGCATCAAAGTGGCAAACACAATTGCAGGTGCGGGAATATAGGCCTTATGAAGGTTCCCTACTTGTCAGGGAACTCCCCAGCTAATATGGATGGACACGGACCTTAGAGGAGTACCGTTATGGAAGGATTAAGGATCTGCTCCAAGGGTTGGGAAGGGAATCTCTCCCAAGAACACTTCTCTTTAGACCATCGACCTAAAGGTCACACTTTACCAGTACCTCTTGCTTTTGAGCCAACTGATTCATAGAGATGTGTCACAAGAGAACTGCACTCTGCAGGGTTTCCAGTGGCTCTTTTTTTTTTCCAGAAGGAAATCACCAGGCTTTTCTTCCAAGGTGCTTCTGGGTGGATTGTGGTTAATAGTCACATTTACTGTTTGTGCCACCCAGAAGCTCCTAAAACCCATCCTTAGCTTCAGAGAAACACCTAGAAGAAATGCACCAATGATAAACTCATCCAGTCTCCTTAAAGTTCTTTCTGCGTTGAGTCCTTGGTATTGTGTGTGTGAATTTTTAAAAATCACATTTGGATAAATTGATGGTTTTGAGTCATACTGTCTTTTGTTGTCATTTGGTGATGCTGAACATAAGCTGACTTCTTGCTTTTGAGTTGGAACAGACTCGTTGCTGACCCTCCAGCGAGTTTTCAGACGCTATATCCATCACACTGCAGGAGACTGCCCCTCTTTCCCTGGGAAACAGCAGGTGGATTCGAACCATGTGCCTTTGCGTTGATAATGCACCTCCTTACCCACTGGGCCACTAGAGCTCCCTAAGCAGGTTGCGACTTCCCTAAAATCTAGGATCATGTTTTTTTCATAAACTCAGTTCTCTGAGTTCAGAAAGGATTTGTTGTTGTTGTGTTAAGTACCGTCGAGTTGCAGGCGACTCATAGCGACCCTATGAACCAAAGTCCTGGACACCTCCTGTATAACTTTCGTCCTTTCTCCAGGTTCATAGGGTTTCTGGAGACAAGCTATTATTTTGAAGTAGATGCCACTCCTGCTTCCAAGCTTGTTTTAATCGGGAAGCTCCACCAAACACTGTCCACCATGGGTAACCATTCTCGCATTTGACTCATCAGTGTCACAGTGTTTGGCTTCACAGCAACCACAGTTACCTCTGTACACCAAGTGGACATACCAGGGTTACACGACCAAGAAGAATGTTTCACCAAAAACAATTAAAGGCAGGCCTGAGGGCAGTGGAGTAGAGTCACCCACCTTTGGCTTGGGCGCCTGGTTTTCTGTCTGCTAGGCCAACTGCTCTCTCTTTCTATGCTGTTGTTGGTGGTGGTGTTGTCAAGTGCCGTCGAGTCACAGGCGACTCATAACGATACTATGAATGAAGTCCTGGACACCTCCTGTATAACTTTCGTTCTTTTTCCAGGTTCATAGGTTTTCCAGACTGGATGTCACTCCTGCTTCCAACAGAAAAGATTTAAAAGAGGAAATATTTTGGGGAACATTAAGATGAACATTTTCTTTTGAACGAAAAGTGATATATGTTTATGAGGGACCTTTCCCCCCTTCTCTGGGAGAATCTTTTAATGACTGTGTTCCAATTTTTTTTTTAAATTGTCTTTCTATGTGGTAGGATTAATGAAAATTTTTCCTTTTAATGATTGTTGTTGTTAGATGCCATCAAGGCAGAGCTGACTCATAGCTGACCCTCCAGGGGTTTTTGGATGTTGTAAATCACATGGGAGTAGATTGCTTGTTTTTCTTGCCCTGAAATAGCTGGTGGATTTGAACCACCTGCCTGTGTGTTGGCAATGCAACTCCTTACTGACTAGGCCACCAGAGCTCTCTTTTTTTTTAATAATTAAAGCCCAAAACAGAAAGGTGGACAGTGACTAGGGATGCTAGAAGGCGAATTGATGCCTTTGAGATGTGGTGCTAGAGAAGAGTACAGAATATACCATGGACTGCTAAGAGAACAAACAGGTTCTTCCTGGAGAGGGTGAAACCAGGCTGCTCCTTGGAGGCAAGGATTCTGATGCTCCGTCTGACATACTTTGGACATCTTGCAAGGAGGGACTGTCCTGAGGAAAGGACATCATGCTTGGGAGCGTGGAGGAACAGTACAGGAGAGGAAGAACCTCAATGAAATGGATTGATTCATTGACTGGGGTATTCGGGGTGGGTGTGTCAGAGACAATAAGGTTGGCTCAGGAGAGATCAGGGTTCAGAGCTGTTGTACATAAGGTCACTATGAGTCATAGGTGACTTGATGGCACATAACAACAACAACAACAACAACAACACATAATACTGACTTTCCCCGTACAGGATTCCATGTCTAATTCTTTTTCTTACAGAGGGTGAGCAAGAACAAGGGCTTGAATTCTACTCCAGTCAGCTTCTTGTTTGACTTGAGCTCAGTCACTTCTCTGGCTGGCTGATGGACCCACTCACTAGTCCTGTCTAGACCTGGAGATTAGAGAGCACAGCAGCCTCCTGATGCTTTGTTAGTCTCATTTTCCACTTTAAAAAAAAATTACACAACCTCTGGTTGAATGTATTCAGGCTTGGCAGGAAGTGGGGTTGAATATTTAGGGGTCCTTACCCCTCCATGGGAAAGTCTGCTGTTAGGGACCTCTCTAAAGTGCTCAGGAGCAACAGTGTCTCTCTGGAGACTAAGGTGCGCCTGATACAGGCCACGGTCTTTGCAATCACTTGTTATGCATCAGAGAGTTGGACAGTGACTAGGGAGGATAGAAGGAGAATTGATGCCCTTTGAGCTGTGGTGCTGGAGAAGAGTACTGAATGTACCATGGACTGCCAGGAAAACAAACAGATTTATCTTGGAGAGGATTAAACCAAGCTACTCCTTGGAGGCAAGGATTCTGGGGCTTCGTCTGACATACTTTGGACATGTTGCCAGGAGGGACGTGTCCTTGGAGAGGGACATCATGCTTGGGAGGGTGGAGGGACAGCGCAGGAGGGGAAGACCCTCTATGAGATGGATTGATTCGGTGACTAGGGTAATCGGGATGGGTGTGTCAGAGGCAGTGCGGTTGGCGCAGGATAGAGCAGGGTTTAGGGCTGTTGTGCATAGGGTCGCTATGAGTCACAAACGACTCGACGGCACATAACAACAACAACAACCCCTCCAGGTACCGCAGTGGGACTCGCGGCTACATGAAGGCGGTGGTTTTGGATCTCCTGCGGAGATATTTACAGGTTGAGCATCACTTCCAACAAGGTAAGACACGCTGGCCTGATGCTTTCAATGAGCCTCTCCTTCAACCCCCTGAGGGCCAGAGGAGCCCTGACCTGACCCTGTGCCACTTTCTGTGTCCCTCTGTAGCCCACTATGACAAGTGTGTGATCAACCTCAGGGAGCGGTTCAAGCCGGACATGTCCCAGGTGTTAGACTGTATCTTCTCTCACGCGCAGGTGGCCAAGAAGAACCAGCTGGTGATCATGTTGATTGTAAGCAGAAAGAAGGGCCCAGAGGGCTCAGGGTCAGCCCGGTTCTCTGGAAGAGGCCAGAGAATAAGGATTTCAGGGGGTCTGTCATGGCCATCTTACTTGATGGTGGTAGCATGAATGCAGCCATGTTATTGTTGTTGTTATGTGTTGTCGAGTTGCCTGTGACTCACAGCGACCCTCTGTCCAGCAGCTCTGAAGCCTGCCTTGTCCTGAGCCAGTCTCACTGACTCTGACACACCTACCCTCATTGCCCCAGTCACTGTGTCAGTCCATCTCATCTGGGGTCTTCCTCTCCTGCGCTGTCCTTCACCCTTCCTAGCATGGTGTCTTCCCTCCTGGCCACGTGCCCAAAGACAGTGCACAAATGAGTATATGGGGCCAGGTTCCAGTATAACTTTATTTATAAAAACAGAAGGAGGCTGCGCCTTTGAATGCAGGTGGTTGGGCGCTAGTTTGATAACCCTGCGGAAGGTCTTAACTGGCACAGAACACATAGCAGATCCTAGATCTTCTTGAAGAAAGTTAGGACTCAAATTTCCTGCCGTCATAGCAACCCAGCAGGTGGGTTTTGTTCTCACCTCCCTTTGGCAGAGCTCGGGGAAGTAGGTCTTTCAGTTTGGATAGTTAAATGGGAGGAAAGGACCCCGTCGTGAAGGACAGTGTGTGCAGCTCATGTTCAGGACTTGAGAAGGTGCACGCATGCCCACTGGAGATGATGCAAGCATGGCAGAAAGTACACTGCTGGTGCCGCGAAGTGAATATCAGGAGTAGAGGGTCTCTCTGCACTGATCTTCCAGTTTTCCCTAGTTTGAAATTTTTCCTCATTAAATGTGGGGGCGGTGAAGACTTCCCTATTGAACACAGTGTGAAGCATCTGAGAACTTCTGGCCAAGGAGATATTAACTCTTTGGGGAATGAATTTTTCTATGCTAACTTTGGACATGTTGTGAGGAGAGACCGGTCCTTGGAGAAGGACATCATGCTTGGGAGGGTGGAGGGACAGCACAGGAGGGGAAGGCCCTCTATGAGGTGGATCGATTCAGTGACTGGGATAATTGGGATGGGTGTATCAGAGATGGTGCGATTGGCACAGGACAGAGCAGAGTTTAGGGCTGTTGTACATAGGGTCACTATGAGTCGCAAGCGACTCGACGACACATAACAACAACAACAAAATAAAGCACCCTTTTGATGGAGTTTTTGTTTTTACCTTTTTAAAAAACTTTTTACTATGATTTGAGTGAGAGTTCATAGAGCAAATCCATTTTCCACCCAACACCTCATACACATGATGCTTCTTGATGACAATTACAGTCCCCATGTTTGAACAGCATTCATTCATATAAATTATTTAGGGTGGATATTAGGTTGTTGTTGTTAAGTGCCATCGAGTCGCAGGCAACTCATAGTGACCCTATGAAGGAGAGTCCTCAACGCTTGGGTGCCTTTCATCCTCTCTCAGGTTCATAGGGTTTCCGGAGGCAAGCTATTATGGAAGTGGATGCCACTCCTCCTTCCATGATATTGGGTTAGATTAAGAATTATTGATGTAAAAAAAAAAAGAGAATTATTGATGTCTGAGTTGTGGTGCTGGAGAAGAGTCTTGAACATACCATGGACCACCAAGAAAACAACTAGGTCTGTTCTGGAGAGGGGAAACCAAGTTTATCCTTGGAGGCTAGGATTTTCAAGTTCTGTCTCACATACTTTGGGCATGTGGCCAGGAGGGAATGATCCTCTGAGAAGGGTATCATGCTAGGAAGGGTAGAGGGTCAGCGCAGGAGAGGAAGATCCCAGATGAGATGGATTGCAGTAACTGGGGCAATGGGTACAGTAACTGGGGGACTGGCTGAGGACAGGGGAGGCTTCAGAGCTGCTCTACATAGGGTTGCTATGACGACTCGATGGCACATAATAAAAGCAACAATGGAAGATTCACCAGAGAGAGTAATCAGGGTGTTTATATCAGGTCCCGCAGGTGTATCCAAATAGCTGAGCCATGGGCTTGCTTTCTGGGCAGCCACACCCTTGGGAGAAGGTTGCTCCTGACTCATTCCCTCTGACGGAAAAAAAGTCACTTGGGATTCCATTTCTGTCCCTCGCAGGATGAACTCTGTAGCCCAGACCCTGCCCTGTCTGATGAGCTGACCTCCATCCTCAACGAGCTCACTCAGCTGAGCAAAAGCGAGCACTGCAAAGTGGCCCTCAGAGCCAGACAGGTGAGAACTGGGTGCGGCCCTACTGTGTGCAGCCTCATCATGTACGGTTCACTGCATACAATCACATCATGCTGCTCTGTCGTGAGCAACTTGACTGTGTGCACACCACTGTTTGGTCCTACTGTGCACAGCCTCAGTGTACATAAGCCCCACTCAATGTGACCCCACTGTACAGTCCCACTGTGCAGCCCTACATCCAGGAACCCCCCAAGTAAATTTCCACTCTGTGTGGCCTCACTGTGTGCAGTCTGGCTTGCATGTCTTTGCCATAAACTGCCCCACTCTGCACGTAGCCATTGAGTGTGATCTCACTGTTTGCCATCCTACTGTGAGTAATCCCATCATGCCTGGCCACGTTGTGCAGTCCCACCATAGACATTGGTGGTCCCACCATCCATGAGCTGCTACCGCCCCTTGTCTCTGACTCGACCTGCCCTTGGTGCTCTGCCTGAGAAGCTGGCTCACTCGGCCTCACCGGTGCGCCCTGTTCCAGATCCTGATTGCCTCCCACCTCCCTTCATATGAGCTGAGACACAACCAGGTGGAGTCCATTTTCCTGTCTGCCATTGACATGTACGGCCACCAGTTCTGCCCGGAAAACCTCAAGGTGAGGCCCCTCCTCCCTCCCATCTCCCACTGTGGCCCTAGCAGGGGTCCCCGGGGATGTAGGCTCCCTTGCCCTTGAGATGCTGACAGTCCTGTGGGCATGGTTGAAAGTCTGGCCCTTCAGCCTAGTGGGGGTTGCCTGGGGCGGGTGAGAGAAGGGCAGGGGCGACTGGAGCTAGGTCTGGAAGGAAGGCTGCTGGCTTGGGGAGGATGCTCTGGCAGGTTCCACTTGTAAAATCCAGCTGTGGTCCTTCGTGCTTGGATGTGGCACATGTACAAGGCAGCGTCTAGGTTCATCTTAGCTTTACACCCCCTCTCCCTGCTTATTCACAAACGCCCAGATCCACCGCGTGTCTGATCCTGGGGTCCCTGAGTCCCCAAGGGCTATTGAGTTCTCTGACCGCCTCCCCCCCCATACAGCTACCTCCTGGAGGGAACCTGTGTACTTGGAGACTGGGCAGCATTTATCTGTAACCCCCGGGGGCTTCGCTTCCTCATTCCCACCTTCCCACTTATCATCTGCTGGTTAAAGCTTGTTGATTTTTTTTTTCTTTTCCCCACCAGAAACTGATCCTTTCAGAAACAACCATCTTTGATGTCCTCCCCACTTTCTTCTATCACACCAACAAAGTTGTGTGCATGGCTTCCCTGGAGGTAAGGAGGAGAAGCCCTTACACACCAGTAAGCAGTCCTTCCACTGCCGAGGCCGGGCTTAGCCTCCCTGGCCCGCTCACCCAACACCTACAAAGGTCCCCTAGCATTATCTCCATAAAGGAGGCATCTTTCCTCCTTTATGGAGCTGAGGCGCAGACAAGCCAATGACTTGACTTAAGGTCAGTCGCACGGCTAAGAAGTGGCAGAACCAGAATTTAAGCTGTTGTCATTATGTACTGTGAAGTCAGAACCGACTCATAGCTGGCCCTCCAGTGGGTTTTCAGAGGTGGTAAATCACACAGAAGGAGATTGCCCATCTTTCTCTTTTGGAACATCTGGTAGACTCAAACCATGTGCCTTTGGGTTGGCAGCACAACTCTTTACAACCAAGCCACCAGAGCTCCCTTAGGGTTCAAACTAGGTCTGTCTTACTCTAGAGTTAACTCTTGTAGCCACTGTACTATCTTACCTGTCCTTCCCACTGGGCTCTGGAAAGGCATGTGGTCATTGTCCGTAGTGCTTTTGCATCAGGTCGTGGAGACCTGCAGTGACACCATAACACCTTCTGGGGTTTCCTAGGATGTCACCTTCACAGGAACAGATCACCAGGTCTTTTCGCTACGGGACCTCTCGGTGGGTCCAAACACCAGCTTTTCTATGACAGGCAAGTGCTTAACTCTGCACCATCAGGACTCCTGAGATTCTGGGCGTGGCTCAGCCCAGGGCCTCACAAGGCCACAGCCCAGATGTCAGGTGGGCTCCGTTCCTTCTTTGAGCTCCGAGTTCTGCTCCAAGTTCAGTGCAGGTCAACGGCATTTGGTTTCTGATGGCTGTAAGCATAGCCCTCATTATTTTATTATTATTATTATTATTATTATTATTATTATTATTATTATTATTAATGTTCTTTATTTTTCACTATCAGCTGGCTGCCATTCTCTGTCCTCATGTCCGACCCTACTTCCTGCCTGTGTGACCTTGTGCTGGTGCAGGCAGTATTGCCAAAGACTTTTCTGCCTGGCATTACGAAAGCTGAAGGAGCCTTGTGGGGTGGGACAGAGAAGGGTGTGGCCAGCAGCACACCCGAATCAGAGCCAGTTCCCCTGGCTCCTGCCCCAGCCTTTCTCCCTCTTTCTTGAGTTCACAGTAGGGCAATGACTCCTGTCTTTGTTAATTTTAGGAAATCAGTAGTTTTGGCCCACCCTTTCAGAATCTTTTCAAGAAAATATGAGATGACTCTTGGTTTCTCCCTGACTCTTCTCTCCATGTTTGCTGTGGCTGAGGCTGGTCTTCTCCGGGTTCTTCGCTCTCTGAGCTCAGGGTCTTGGTCACCTGGCATCCCCACTTCCTCTTCCACCTTCTTTTAAGCCTGTGGGTCACCTGTCTTCTATACCTTCATGGGAATAGCCGAGGCTTGTGAGCTGAGTGGCACAAGCAATTAGGTACTCAGCTATTCACCAAAATGTTAGAGGTTGGAGTCCATCCAGAGGTGCCTCAGAAAAAAGGCCTGGGCATCTTCCAGAATAATCCCAGCTCTTGAAAACCCTCCGGAGCACGTTTTCCTCTAATACCCTGAGTTGGAGTCAGATTAATGACAGCTGTTTTCTGATAGTGCTGTCAAGTTACAATCAAAAGCTGAGAAATTGCATCTGTGTGCAAACTGTGATCTGCTTTTACAGGAAAAGTTTACCAGCCCCAGCTCTGCAGCTGAGCGAGCTCTGGTGGCTTAGTGGGTAAAGGAGACACACTGTCAACCCAAAGGCAGGCAGTTCGAACAGAGGGAAAAAGATGGGTGATCTCCTCCCATGCAGTTCAGTGCCTCTGAAAACCCACTGGAGGGTCAGCTATGAGTAGGTCCCAACTCAACTGCGATGAATTTTTTTTTTAAGCTCAGGAGCTAAGCAGTGATATTTTGAGGTGTGAGCTGGTTTGCCTTTTGCTATTGGCTTGATCTTGGTCTTTGTGCCTCTGGCCCACACTTTCTCAGGTTTGGGGTGTCTTTCACGCCCTCTGAGAATGCCTGCTGTGCCTCTGTCCCAGGTGTATGTGCGGAGGGGCTACATTGCCTACGAGCTCAACAGTTTACAGCACTGGCAGCTCCCGGACGGCACCTGTGTGGTGGAATTCCAGTTCATGCTGCCCTCCTCCCACCCAAACAGGTAGGGAGCTGGCACACCTGGGCCTCCCTCCTCCCACCCGAACAGGTAGGGAGTGGGCACACCTGGGGACACCTGGGATTCCCTCCTCCCTCAGCTCTGGAGATCCGACTGAGCAGGGACCACCAAGCGTAACTGGGAACCGTGACGGAGGGATATCAGGGTTACCACCTCCCCCTGCTCCATCTCTCAGTCTCTGCTCTTGTTAATAAAGTGGAGATAGCCCAGTGTTTACCACATAGACCTTCACTGGTACCATGGCAGCTCCCCATGTTAGTGAAATCAATGCTGGTGCCGCAGACCTTGAGTTCAGCTCTTTAGTGACATTAGCTGCACTGTGAGTGTGCCACGGCTCCGTGTGGTTCGAGGCTCCTGGAACAGACAATGCAGAAAGGACTGTTTCCCCATCACAGACCATGGGGAAGAGTCAGTGAAACAAGACGCAGACGGCTCTTGGGACAGTGCTCAGGACACACAGAGTGCTCAGTGACGGTTCTCAATCGTCACGGCGAGTGTCATGGCCGTTACTGTCTGGTGGCAGGGCTTCTCTGCCTCGTGACCACATGCTTCCAGAATCGCTTGATTGCCCTCAGCCTTCATCTGGAGGAAACGTGTTCTCATTGTTTTACCAACCAGGGCCACTTAAGAGGCTGCAACTTAAGCCGTTTTGCTTTCACTCCCCATTGACTTGAAGATGGAATTGGAGCCACACTCTTCCCACTTCCTCCCTGTGATTCTGGTTTCCATGAATCCTGTCCCACCCCCTCCTGCCTTCTGAGCTTTGTCCCTGGGCAGGTGCTGCTGTCTGGATCCTGTGTGACTGATGGTTCTGAGGGATGAGCACCCAGCTGGCGTTACTGCCCACATTTGTCTGCTGTTTGCATGAATGTTGAACTACAGGGCTGAGTGGTATTCAAAGGGTCACTCAGGGCCCCAGGCTCAGGGGTACCACCAGTCTATCAGACCAGCAGGCGGGGTCGCATTCTGGCCACTCTTAGACACACTTCACTGACATTGGTGGCATTCACTGTGCGGTACAACCTTCACCACTGACTAGCTCCCCCACTTTCTCATTATCCTAAAGAGACCCTCAAAGAGACACTCAATACCCCTTCAGTGCTAACTCCCAAATACCTGTCAGTCCCTGTCACTGTCACGGCTGCGCCGGCCCTGACTCGCCATGACCCTGTGTGTGCACTGCTGTGCGTCAGCCCGTCGCTGCACTCGGTAGCGAACCTCGTTGAGGATAGGCCTCTTTTTCTGTGACCCCTACTTCTCCTAGCATGATGCCCTTCTCTGTGACTGGTTCCTCCTGATGACACACTCAAGAGTATCTAAGACACAGTCTCCCGTCCTTGCCTCTAAGAAGTCTAAACCCGCCTGAGCTATTGCCATTTCAACAAGTCCATTTCAGTGCGTGGCAACTCTCATGGCTGTAAACCTTTCCAGGAAGAGACTGCCTGTCTTTCTCAGAGCAGCTGGTGGATTTGAACCACTGACCTTTTGGTTAGCCCCACACCACATAACACACTTCCCTACTTCTAAGACTCTTTGGAATGACTAATTTACCATGGTCACTGTGCACTTATCTGGTCTATGGATTCATATAAGTGAGATTATACATTGCTTGGCTTGTTTTCCTCAGCATAGTCTTCTTAAAATCCATCAGTATCCTAAAAATGTCATTCCTTTTCATGACTGAGTACAATTCCACTTGGAGCTCAGGTGGCATGGCGGTTAAGCACTTGATGGCAAACCTGCAAGTCAGCAGTTTGAACCCAACCAGCTGCTCTGTGGAAGGAAGAGATAAGAGTCCGTTCCTGTAAAGAGTCTGGCTCTGAGACCCTGTGAATTGCAATCGGCTTGACGGCAGCGAGTTCACTATTCTCATATATTGAGAGACCACATTGTGTTTCTCCATTCATCGTTCAGGCTGTTCTCCCCTTGTGGCAAATGTGGAACGTGAAGGTGAATGTCAAGGTTTCCCATCTGTCTCTAACTCATTTTATTTCAGGGCCCACCGTGCACTTCTGGTCAGGTAGAGTGTAATACCTCCTCCTATAGTACTTACGGCTCTGGGACCTGAGGGGTGCTCTCTCACTCTCCACCTCTGTGGTTCTGGTTATCTAAGGCCTTGCTTGTGGCTACAACAGTCTCCTGATTTGGGGGCTCCATTGATCGAATCTCATGTCTACAAGGGCAGCAGGGCTTCCTCTGGCCTCTTGGGATTTTCAGAAACATATTCTCTTTTCTTTGGTTTTTAAGGAGAAAGAGGCTGTGCTCTTAGTGGATGAAGGGGGAAAGGTGCTTCCTGTGAGTCACCTCCTCTTGCATTTTTCAGTCATTTCTGTCTGTCTTGTTTCCAAAACAAGGGATTGTGGCATTGTACACGGTTGAGGGAATGGGGATTGTGCTCTGGGGTCTCTGGGGGACAAGGACTAAGAGATTCAGAGATACCTCTGAGGAGGACATCTGTCCTCTTTTGGAGACATTATTTCAGCAGGTCCCCCGTCAGGGAGGGTGGCTCCGTGAGAGAGGCCTGTAGGCTGGGCTCACTTTCTGAGAAAGAAGCAGTTGTGTTTTAGGACAACTTTTTGTAACTTCCTGGTGGTGATGCCAGTGAAGGCACAGAGTCCTATTTTGTTGACCCAGAGAGACTCTGTCTCAGATACTCACATTAAAAGCGTATTGTTTTGCATTTAGGTACATTTTTTTTCTGTGAATACACAAAACATACGTTGGCATGGTAACCTGTACATGGACAATATACTGACACTTCACTGATTATAGTTTTTATGTTATACACCCATTCTCACTGTCTTTCCCAAGTTATCTCCTCAGCCCTTGATTTTGCTCTTGGCTGAGGCTATTAGAAGTGTCCCTTGGGCCTCTCTCACCACATGAGACCCCTCTTCTGCAGCTTCCTCCCTCCAGTTCTGTGGACCTCTGGTTAGCCCTCAACATCTGCACCTGTGAAATGGGCACACTGTGAATTGAGTGATGGGGAGCAGAGGGGCCAGTAGGATTTCTGGTTATGCAGGTAGCATGCTCCAGTGGCCTCAGGGGGCACTAGTCAGAGGGTGGGGAGTTGTGGAGCACCCACCTGTCCCTTCACCTTTTGGTTTCAGCTCCAACCCAATATTTCCCTATAGCAAAGTAGTCACAGGGACCTTTGGTGGCTCAGTGGTAAGGAATTGGGCTGCCAACAAAAGGGTATGTAATTTGAATTCACCAGCTGCTCCATGGGAAAAAGACGGGCAGTCGGCTCCCCGTGTAATTTACAGCCCCTGAAAACCTGCTGGAGGGTTAGCTGTGGGTCACTTCTGACTTGACAGCACAGAAGAATAGACCTTACCATGTTTTTAAAGAAATGCAAGAAATCTGGATTTTTTTTCCCCCTTAAAAAAAAAATCCAAGCACCTTGAGTTTTCCAGTGTGGGTAACTGGTAATGATCTCAAGTCCCTGGGTGCCGTGAATAGTTAATGTGCCTGGATCCTCACCAAGAAGTTGGAGATTCATGTTCACTCAGAGATGCTGCAGCAGAACTGGCTACCTACTTCCCCCAAACCAGCCACTTAAAGGGACCCTGTAGGGAGTGCTGTGCTGCCCTGCCAGGCTTCCTGTTCATGGGGTTTAACCATGAGTCAAGGCCCCTGTTACCAGTTAATGTTGTTGTTGTTGTGATGTGCCATCAAGTCACCTGTGACTCATAGCGACCCTATATACAACAGCCCTAAACCCTGCTCTATCCTGTGACAATCTTATTGTTTCTGACACACCTACCCCCATTACCCCAGTCACTGAGTCAATCCATGTCATCCAGGGTCTTCCTCTCTTGTGCTGACCCTCCACCCTCCCAAGCATGATGTCCCTCTCCAAGGACTGGTCCCTCCTTGCAACGTGCCTGAAATATGTCAGATGGAGCTTTAGTCTTTGCGTACAAGGAGCAGCCTGGTTTCACTCTCTCTAGGACAAACCTGTTTGTTCTCCTAGTAGTCCATAGTGTATTCAGTACTCTTCTCCAGCACCACAGCTCAAAGGCATCAATTCGCCTTCTGTCATCACTAGTCATTGTTCAGCTTTCTGATGCATATAGCACCTAGTTGCAAAGACTATGGCTCAGACACACCTTAGTCTCCAGACTGACGTTGTTTCTCTTCAGTGCTCCAGAGATGTCCCTGACAGCCGACTTTCCTAGTGCAATTAATCTTTTGATTTCCTGGCCTTTGAAATAACAGGCCTTTGAAAACCCCACGTACCAGTTAATGAGAATCTGTTAACTTGTAAAAATGATATTTCAGCATGCAGCTGGGACCAAACAAAGCCAGCTTTGAGGGGAGTGGGTACGCATTGCCCTGTTGGTGTGGCCTCTGGGCTTGGCTGTTGGGTATCAGCATCCCAGGGGGTGTGGATAAAGACTTTAGAGATATGCAAGAGCCACGCTTCCCTGCCTGTGGTTAGGGGTGGGGCTGTGGGTCCCTAAGACCACCTCCTAGATTTGACAGTTTGCCAAGGGGGACTTATAAGACTCAGCAGATAGCTTCACTCATAGCTGTAATTGGAGACAATGACAAGGGGCAGAGGGCTGTTAGGAGGGTGGAAAGGTGATGGGGTGAATCTTGGGGGAGACCAGGTGCACGTTTCTAGAAGCTTCTCTTAGTGAAGCCACACAGACCAGGAGCCGCCAGGTTGCCTCCATCTGGCTGACGGTAATTCACGCTTGTAAGAGCAGAACTGGGCTCTGGGGGGTTTGTAGTGGCTGATTGCTTGCAAGTCGGTGGCCAGGCCTTCCTTCTGGCTCCCCTGCAGGTAGACTGGAATCTCAGCCTTTTTTGGGGCAGCACATTAATCCTTTGCACACCCCAGGAACTCTATTCCAATTCCTCCAGCTAGAGATTGGAACAGCGCAGGTAGAGGGTTGAAAGTTTGAGACTTGATACCCAGTGTTCTTAGTGGGGCTGGTCTTGTACATGCTCTAAGTCTCGCATGTCCCCAGATTCTAGACACCCAGAAAGAAAGAGGGCATTCAGCATGTCCTACCTGTCTGTACAGACAATTGAGGTTCAGAAGACACCCTGCCCAGCCCTGAAGTGGCCCCGCCTCGCACGCTGGCCTCTCTGGATGATCTGAGGCCTGCTGTCAGCTCCTTTTGGCGCAGTGTCTGATATAAACAGCGCCCCCTTTGCTCCAGGGTCTGGTTCCTGCACTCTCAGGTGACCCATGTGGGTTGGCTCTGGTGACGTGTGGCCCTTTCCACTCCTACCTCTGCTGGTCCCTGGGACAGACCTGGTGTTCCTGATGACAGACCTGGTGGCTGGCTGGAGCGTAGGTTTGCTAGAGGCAGAGGGAGCTGAGCAAGCAGAGTGCTGGGTGTGTCTGGACCAAGCCCGCTTGCTTGGGGAGCTCCCAGGGACAGGTTCCCCAGGAGAAATTGGCACTGGGCGTGTTCATTCACCACTCTGGATTTAGTCAGAACCATGTGGGGTCTGGACATGCATGCATGCCTCCATCAGTCATTCATCCATTCATTCATTCCTTCACTTATTGAACTCTTGATGGGTCCTGAGCACTCCCTGTGACTCCTTAGTCGCTGGCCCCAATCTCATCCCCCAACCTGAAGCCAGCCTGGCTCTTAGGAGCCTCAGGGGCAGGTCCTAGGGCTGGGCCTGCCACCCCCTCATCCCTGCTTCTCGCTGCCCCGCAGGATGGCCGTGCCCATCAGCGTGTCCAATCCTGATCTGATGAGGCACAGCACGGAGCTCTTCATGGACAGCGGCTTCTCCCCGCTGTGCCAGCGCATGGGGGCCATGGTCGCCTTCCAGAGGTTCGAGGACTTCACCAGGTACCTGGTGTGGTGAAGGGCGGGTGAGGCTTCCAGACCCCAGTCTTCCCCGGACACATGGGCTGAGAGAGGCCTCCACATCCTCGGACTTTGTAATTACAGAATATTACACAGCATTGTAGCCAAGAATGTGGGGTTTTGCTTCAGCCTGGCTGCATGGAAACCTTAGCAAAGCGTGTAACCCCATCTGTACCCCAAATGCCTCTCCATAGTCAGTAAAACACAAATAGACATTGTTCTACTCTGCTTTCAGCCAGGATCCAGCTGACCTCAAATCAGAGCCTATCAGAGATGATGAGAATGGTACAGGATAGGACAGGATTTAGATCTGTTATTCATTCGGTTGCTATGAGTTGTGTTCGACCCCACGACTCTTAACAACAACATACCTCGGTTTCCTCATCTGCAAAGTGAAAGTAGGAGTAAGATGACGACTTAGAGTTGCCGTGAATATATTAGCTTCTATACACACATTGCTATACTTTGGACATGTTGCAAGGAGGGACCAGTCCTTGGAGAGGGATGTCATGCTTGGGAGGGTGGAGGGACAGTGCAGGAGAGGAAGACCCTTGATAAGTTGGATTGACTCAATGACTGGGGTAAGGGGGGTAGATGTGTCAGAGACAGTAAGATTGGCTCAGGATAGAGCAGGGTTTAGGGCCGTTGTACATAGGGTCACTGTGAGTCACAGGTGACTCGACGGCACGTAACAACAACAACAACAACATACACACCATGCTGTTGTAACATATGCCATGTCATTGGTGTGTCTAGGACATGTTCAGGGAGTGATGGGGGTCAGTGTTGTTACCCTGACCACATGTCACTGGATGTGGTTACCAGACTGGACTCTTGTTGGGTCTTCACCAGCCTTACAAAGCTTGACTCAGGTGAGGTTCAGTTCCAGGCTCTCTGTCCACAAAGAGGGGGCTAAACTCAGTCCCCACTGATGCCAATAGTATTTACAAATTGTTCTGTATCCATGGCCACAGATCACATTGGTCCATTCTTCCATGGGGAGAACCCATCAGAGGTGCCTTTGGCCTGTCAAGGAACCAGTGAGGTGTATTCAGGTTGGGTGATAACAGAAAGCATTGCTTGGGGAAGAAGGCTGTCAGCATAGGACGCTGCCCCCAGCCTCCCTTCTGCCCTGTGCCCCCAGGAACTTTGATGACGTGATCTCCTGCTTTGCCAACGTGCCCAAGGACACCCCACTATTCAGCAAGGCCCAGACCTCCCTGTACTCTGATGATGTTGGCAAGGTAATGTCCAGGGGGTGGCAAGGCCTTGAAGTGGGAAAGTGAGGACCCTCAGGAGGTGGGGGTGTGTGGAAGGGAGCAGTGGGATTTGAGGGTAATTGAGAGAAGGCATTGGGAGTTTGGAGGGTTAGAACCCTCGGGAGTTGAGGGGGGTATGGAAGGGATTATGGGTCTTTGACTGTTGATGGATGAGAGAGGGGCATTGGGGGGGGAGGTGTGGGAGAGGGTGAAAGCCTTGGGAGTTGGGAGAACGGGGTACAAAAGAGGGCAGGGGTCTCAGGATGGGTGGAGGGGCTGAAGGCTGCCTCCTACCGAGCATTCATGTCATGATTTCTGTTGTCAGGGCATCAAGGATGAGCCAATCCACATCCTGAACGTGGCCCTGCAGGTGGCAGACCACCTGGAGGACGAGGAGTTGGTCCCCATCTTCCGGACTTTCGTGCAGTCCAAGGTGCTTAGGTGGGAGCAGTGGGAGGTCCCTTGAGAAGTTGGATGGGATGGTCTTGGCAAGTTGCCTTGTGGCCTGAGAGATTCGAGGATGCCATGTCGCTGAACACTTCAGAGATTGGCCTGGCCCCCTGTCCTGGCTGGTTTCACCCCCAACTGGCACCCTGCAGCTGCAGCTCAATGTGGCGGAGCCTTATTTGCTACATGTGTACATGGGACCAGACTTCTCTGTGCTTTGACACTGCAGCGGTGGCAGGGAGGGGGCTGCTTTCACTGGACCTGTGACGAATCGGTCAGTGTCGACATGATGTGTTGTCCAAAGTGGACGCTCAAAATACAGGCTCCCTGCAGAGCAGCAGGAGAAAACCCCCACTTATTAGTGAACCTGCACAGTTCAAACCTGTGTCCAGCTGCAATTTAACTGTTCTGTAGAGCATGACATGTGTCCTGTCAGCATTTGCTACCTGTCACCCCATTCAATGACCTCAGTACCTTTGGTCATGCTGTGTGACCTTGACCTCTATGCATTTCCACATTTTCCTATTAGCCTTAACATTTAGTTCCTCTCAAACAAACTCCCTCTTTCCCCCTGCCTCTTATCCCATTCTATGAGTGAACTTTGGTTTGTATACATTTGCCTATTGTTGTTGTTAAGTCTGGTGAAGGGAACCAAAGGAAGGAATGAAGAATTCAGAGTTCAAACACTGATGGCCCTCCTACCACTGATAAGAAGAGCAAACAGCCTTGGCAGTTGTTGTGTGCCATGGAGCCGGGCCGACTCAGAGCTGACGCTCCGGCAGGTCTTCAGAGGCTTTTATCGCATGGAAGGAGATTGTGTATCTTTCTTCCACAGAACAGCTGGTGGCCTCAAACTGTGTGCCTTGAACCACTAGGTCACCAGAGCTCCCATTTTATTTGCCAACTCTACGTATTTCATGTAAATGGGAATATACAATATTTGTCCTTTGATGGCAAACTTATTTTGCTCAGCATATTTTCAGGGGCACATCCGTAATGTGGCATGCATCAGCACTTGATTCTTTTTCATGACTGAATATTCCATTGCGTCTTTGGGTTTTCATACAGAGAAACATCCTTGTGGATTACGGACTCCGAAGAATCACATTCTTGGTCGCACAAAAGGTCAGTCCAATTGTCAGTGCAACTCTGAGTCCTTCCCCTTCTCTTCGACCCAGAAGGCTCTGTCTCCTCTGTTCCTTGCTGGAATTTGATCCTGGAGTTTCGGGTGGAAGATCACTAGTAAAAGAGAAGGCTGTTGAGTGATTCCTACTGGGAACACTTACTATCATTTAAAAAAGATAAATCACAAAATGAATGCGTTGATTTTTTTTTCTTAACTGAGTCTCGCTTGCCTTAATTATCTTATATGTGGATTTCTATTTTTTGCAGAAAGAATTTCCCAAGTTCTTCACATTCCGAGCAAGAGATGAGGTATGAATCAAAGCCGGTAGGGTTCTCCTTTCTTTTAATACTCATGAAAAATTTGGGCCCCAGCTTTGGAGACACCCCTAATTCTGGAGCATGACAACTATTTTGTGGACTCTACCTCATCCTAGGATTGCAGCAACCCTGTTTTCTGGGTAGAACTCACGTCTTTAGTTCCCCACCCTTGTAGCTTTCCCTCGTGAATTCTCCCCACTTAAATAAGTTTTGTCCTTGCTGGAATCTCCAGTTAGACAGTTTTACCCATCTCCTTTTTTCTTTTTGTCTTTTTCTGGAACAGAGATTGGCAAACTTTAATCTGTGGGCTGTTGTTGTAAATAAAGTTTTATTGGTACACAGCCACACTTAAAAGGTTTGCTGATGTATAACATAGACTAGAACAGAAAAGAACAGAACAGAAGGGTGTTCTTGTGGCCTAGAGGGTAAAGAATTAGCCAAAGACAAGTGGTTCATATCCACCAGCTTTTCTGTGGGAGAAAGATGGGCATTCTCCTCCCATCCTCTGAAAACCTGCTGGAGGGCCAGCAGTGGGTCTGTTTCAGCTCCGTGACAGTAGCTAGACTGAGGGATTCTTGAATACACTTGCTCCAAGCACAAGTTCGTAACTCATCCAGGTTCATATTTTAATTGATCCAAAGCCTCACTTCTTCTAGCTAAGGACTGTCCCTTCACTCTGGCTCCCAGCACTATCATCACTTCCGCTGGGATCCACTTTGTCACAAGCAGACCAGGTGTTAGCGACTTTGCAGGGTTGCTTTTGTGTGCCAGCCACTTCAGCAGGTGCTGGGCTAGGCTTCCCTTGAACTCAGGTGTGTAAGCACATCACTCTCGTGGCATGCACCACCCTCTTCTGGTGACCCATGCCTAACCCAGAGGCCAATACAGTTCTCTCTCTCTGGAGGTTTGAATCCACTGGTGACTCCGCAGGAGAAAGATGGACAGTATCTTTCTGTTCAGTTTACTGCTTGGGAAAGCCAGTGAGTCAGCTATGAGTGTGTGCAGTGGCAGTGCATGAGTGAGTGAGTTTCCACCGTGAACTCTGGGGTCTGCAGGACAGGGCGTGCACTGAGCAGGTGCTGGACCCTAATGATGGGTTCTCTGCGTGCATGTGTTTCTTGGATCGGTGTCTGTTACTTGTGTGCATTTATGTTTCTGTTTGTCTTTGTTGTGTACATGTGTCTCTGTCTGGTGCCCACATGTCTGTGGTGTGTATCTGTGTCACTGTGACTGGTGGCATGTGTCTGTCTCTTATGTTGGTGCATCTACATATCTCTGCATCTCTCTTTCTGTGGTCCTTCTGTCTGTCTGCATGTCTGTGTGTTTGTGTGATCTTTGTGTCTCTGTCTGTATGGCCTCTGTCTATCTCTGTGAGTGTATATGTGTATCTTCCTGTTTATCTCTGTGTGTGTGCCACTGTGTATGTGTGTTTGTCTGTGTGTGCATCTGTCTGTGTGTGTGTTTATGTATGTTTGTGTGTGTCTCTGCATCTCTCTGCATCTCTGGTTTATGTGTGTGTACATTTGGGTATCTGTGCGTCCCTGTGTATGCTTTTGTGTATCTGTTTCTTTGTGTGCGTTTATCTGCATATCTCTCTGCATCTCTGTATCTCTGGTTTATGTGTGTGTCTGTACATTTATGTATCTGAATCTCTGTGTCTCTGTGTTTGTGTTTGTGTATCTGTTTATCTTCCTGTGTCTGTGTACTTGTATGTATGTATATGTGTACATCTCTCTGTGTATATGTTTATCTGTGTGTCTCTCTTGTGTCTGTGTATGTATGTGTGTATTTGTATATCTGTGTCTCTCTCTGTGTCTCTACACCTTTGTGCATCTCTGATTTATGTACCTCTGTGTGCATTTGTATCTCTGTGCAACTGTGTGCCTGTCTGCATGTGTCTGTCCTCTCTCTGGTGGCCTGCAGTTTGCTGAAGACCGCATTTACCGTCACCTGGAACCCGCCCTGGCCTTCCAACTGGAGCTCAGCAGGATGCGAAACTTTGACCTGACGGCTGTGCCCTCTGCCAACCACAAGATGCACCTGTACCTGGGCGCCGCCAAGGTGAAAGAAGGCGCGGAGGTGACAGACCATAGGTTCTTCATCCGGGCCATCATCAGGCATTCGGATCTGATCACGAAGGTAAGTGGCACGGGTTGTTGGGGCCCTGACTTTGTTCCTTATGTCCTTGTCCTTCCTTTACCAAGTTCATGCTCCAGGCCAGGCCTTGGGCTAGCCACTGATCACTCTGTGGTGTGGCAGTGATTGTCCCCAAGTTGGTGGCATGTGGCTCCATTTTTTGTGTTGCCTGCATTTCTCTGCTTGAGAAGAGGGTTGTGGCCATGGCAGGGCACTGGCTTGTTAAGGGACTGGCTAAGGGATCATTTTCATAGTTTCTTGCATTTGTAAGATCACTGGCTTGTTAAGAGACTGATAGAGTTAATGTGTGGTGTCCTTTCACTGTTACTGGCATCTATAAAGGTAGCCCTATAAAAGGGGTTCTGTTAAGACATCCCCAGCAGTTACAACAATTTCACCCTGTTTCAGAGGTTGGCAGAAGTAATCCATGTTGGTACTAGAAAAATCTCAAATGGACTCTTCCATTGAGAATTTAAATGGAAAGTGATTTTTAACCATTAAGTGCAAGGATGCAGAATCCTGCCTCCTGGCGGTTTCTGCGGCAACCTCTAGATGAGACTCTGCTTTTAGAGTCATAGGTTCAAGGCTGCAGACGGATGCTCAGGGGACTGGGCATTTGTAGACTTCTGGTTTCTGGTAGACAGGCCTCTGGATTTTCTTCCTACTGGTGTTCATTCATCCACGGCATCCTTGTGGGTAGTGAGATGGTATTTCCTTGCATGGATAGATTGGGAATGTGGGATTTTTTTTATAGATAAGATTTTTTATTTTGTAATAGAGTTTTTTTAAGGTTAAAACAATTTAGGCTTACAGAAAAATTGTATACAACCTATAGCAGCCCCATGTGCCTCCTGCTTGCTGTCTCTCCTATTTAATTGTTGTTTGTTGTTGGTAGGTTGCATTGGCTATAAACTGGGCATTTTTTATTTTTGTTAACAATCAAATGTAAGCTGGTTGGTCATTTTTATTTCTTTAACAATCAGCTGTAGGCTGGAAGCCTCTTGTTTAAGCAATCAGGACCTGGTGGGCGGCTCTTTGTATTTAAAAGTTGGTTGAGTCTTGCCTGAGAGTCTCTAGCTTGGAACAGTTAGATTCTGGGGATAAGTTGTTTTGATTTAGTTGGGAGTTGGGTGTAAACTGGATGTTTTTTTATTTTGTTAATAATCAAGTGTAAGCTGATTGACCATTTTTATTTTGTTAACAATCATCTGTGGGCTGGAAGCCTGTTTAATTACACAAATGCAATGTAAGTGATTTGTCTGATGGAACTTGTTTTGAGGACTGAGCTGTTCGACATGTGCACCAGTACAACAGCAAATGTAATTCGCTGCTATCATTTTTTTCAGTTGTGATTTGAGTGCACATTTACAAAGCAAATTGATTGTCCATTCAACTATCCGTACCCATTCTGTTTTGTAACATTAACAACAATAGTCACACTCTAATATAGTTTTTCCTACTTCCTCCCTGTAATTCTCATTTCCATTAATTCTTCTAGCCTACCCCTTCCTGTCTTCTAGGCTTTATCCATGGGCACATTCTGAAAAATGAGGATGGGACAATTCATGAACAATTCTCTGGAATGTCCTGCCTTCTGGCCTTTGGCTCAAATTTTCTACATTTTTGTGTGTATGATTATTTTCACCATTTGTTCAACCATTATGGCTGTCCATTTCCAAATTTTTCAGTCATCCTTACCAAATATTTATTCTCCTACTCCACAATCAACACTCTTGGTACCAGGAAATTTAAAGACAAATTGCATTGGGGAAGTCTGTTGTCAGAGACCTCTCTAAAGTACTGAAGAGCAGTGTCAGTCTGGAAACTAAGGTACACCTGAACAAGGCCATGTTGTTGTTGTTGTTGTTAAGTGCCGTTGAGTCACAGGCAACTCATAGCGACCCTATGCAGGAGAGTCCTCGATGCTTGGGTGCCTTTCATCCTCTCTCCAGGTTCATAGGGTTTCCGGAGGCAAGCTGTTATGGAATTGGATGCCACTCCTCCTTCCAATCAAGGCCATAGTCTTTGCAATTACTTGCTATGCGTAAAAAAGCTGGATTAGGGACGATAGAAGGAGAGTTGATGCCTTTGAACTGTGGTGCTGGAGAAGAGTATTAAATATACCATGGGCTGAATATACCTATGTGATTTTGACAAAAGCATAGTGTGTCCACGATGACAGTATCATATGGGATAGTGTCACCGCCCTAACATATGTAACGATTTCTCCATCAATCCCCTGCTGACAGACTGCTGACTCATAACTACCTTATTCATAATAGAACAAAGCTCTGCTTCAGCCCACAGCGTCCTCAGAGCCTTTACTGTGCTTAAGCCCACTGTCCCGGTCATTGTGTCACTTGCCTGGCTCACTTTCAGGTTGTTGTTTTTAGGTCCTGTTGAGTTGACTGCAACTCACAGTGACCCTGTGAATAATAGATCCGAACCTTCCTCTGTCCTGTGCCATCCTCATCATCTCTGATACCCTTGCACCCACTGCTGCAGTCACTGTATTGGTCCATTGAAGGCCTTCCTCTCCTTTGCTGCCCCTTGACCTTTCCAAGCATGATGCCTTTTTCCAAAGACTGCCCTCTCCTAACACCCTTTGCCCAAAGTATGTGAGATGCAGTTTCACCATCCCCTCCAAGGAGCACTCTGGCTGCGCTTTTTCGAGACGTATTTGTTTGTTCTTTTGACAATCCCTGGGCTATTCAGTGCTCTTCTCCAGCAGCCCCACTCAAAGGCAGCCATTCTTCCCCTGTCATCCTTAGGCACTCTCCAACTTTCAGATGCATAGCAAGTGATTCAAAAGGCCACAGCTTGGATCAGGGCCACCTTAGTCTTGAAGCTGACATCCTTGCCGCTTTCTGGAGGAGAGGGGTATTGTCCTGTGTTGTTTTCTGCCCACTCCGTGGCCCTTGCCTCAGTGGCCACCCCTCCAACCCTGGCAGGAAGCGTCCTTCGAGTACCTGCAGAACGAGGGTGAGCGTCTGCTCCTGGAGGCCATGGACGAGCTGGAGGTGGCATTCAACAACACCAGCGTGCGCACCGACTGCAACCACATCTTCCTCAACTTTGTGCCCACCGTCATCATGGACCCCTACAAGGTTCCTCGGAGGGTGGGAGGTTCCCGGCCTGTGGGGGTCACATCACCGTAGCCCTGAGTTCTAGGATGAGCATGCCCACGTGAGAAGCTCAGCTGCCGAGGGAGGAGAGCGGGCTTATGGTCCTTTAATTCTAGAGCCCCTAGTACTGTCCCTCTTTCGTGGGCCTGTATCACTTTGGGGACAATACGCTACCCTCAGTGGCTGGGAGAACGGAAGTTCATCCCTTTCCCTGATCCTAGACTCAGTTGAGACTTGACCTTGGAGGGGAAGGCAGAGGTTTGCATGGTGATGGTTCTGGGTTGAAAGGGGTCTCAATATGTCATCATGGCAGCTGTGAGGTGGGGATCGGGGTGTGGTCTGATCCCTCCCAAATCTGTCTAGTTCCTGAAGGCATGTCTAGTTTAGGACATGGGATGGCGATGAGGCTGGTGTGGTGTAGTAGTATAGCCTGCACCTTGACTGCCAGTTTCCTTGTCTGCCAGTGGGTGATAGAAAGCCCAGCCTCCCCGAGATCATGAATTTTAAAGGCCTAACACCCTGTGCATCACTGTTATTAGGGAATCATTGTTGGACAGGTGTCCCCACATTTTATAGTCTCAAGGGTCCTGGATTATAATCAGTGCTAGCACTGTTCTGTGTGTGCAGGGGGGTGGGGCGGGCTCTGAAATTGATTCTTGCACGTTTTGGGGGTAGATTGAGGAGTCGGTGCGCTCCATGGTCATGCGCTACGGGAGCCGTCTGTGGAAGCTCCGCGTGCTGCAGGCTGAGGTCAAGATCAACATCCGCCAGACCACCAGCAGCACCGCCTTACCCATCCGCCTGTTCATCACCAACGAGTCGGGCTACTACTTGGACATCAGCCTCTACAAGGAAGTGACCGACCCCAGATCAGGAAATGTAAGGCTGGGCCTGGCCCCCTACACTTCTTAGAGCAGAGCTGGGAGCCTTGAGGTCATAGATTCAGGCCATGTCCAGTGGCTTTTTGAGTATGAGAAATTCTCCTTGAACCTCTATATCCGAAATGTGCTAGGGAGGAGAATGAATCTTCCAAGAGTTAATCAATCCTGGGATCATTCTTGGCATGAGAAAAGCACTGGTGGGTCAGTGGTTATAATGCTGGGCTGCTAACTGACAGGTTGGCGGTGCAAACTGCTCCTTGGGAGAAATGAGCGGCAGCCTGCTTCTGTAAAGATTGCAGCGTGGCAACCCTGTGGGGCTCTGCTCTCTGCTCTGCAGGCCACAACAGCAACAAGTTTGGGTTAGGAGGGAGATACATATAGATATAGGGCCTAGTGGTAAGAGAATGTGCTGTAATCCTGAAGGCGTGCAATTTGAACCTACCAGACACGCCATGGGAGGATGCGCAATCTCCTCCCGTGCGATTAACTGCCTTGGAAAACCTGCTCGAGAGCCAGCTATGGGTCTGTTCCAACTCAGTGGTACACAGCAGCAGTAACAACAAAATACACACACACACACACACACACACACACACACATACATATATTTTATGTGTGTGTGTATGCATGTGTGTGTATATATATACATATACACACACACACATACGTACATACATCATGCTTGGCAGGGTGGAAGGATGGATAAAGAGAGGGAGACCATCGATGACATGGACTGATTCAGGAACTGGGGTAATGGGGGTAGGTGTGTCAGAGACACAGTTTAGGGCTGTGGTACATAGGGTCACTATGAGTCGCAAGTGACTCGATGGTACATAACAACAACATATATACACGTATACACATATACATATGTATACACATGTACGTAAAATAGAATATTTTAGTATTAAATACTAATACTAGTATTCTATTAATACACTATTCGTATTTAATATTAAATTCTAATAGTGGCTTAGAGGTAAGGCATGGGGCTGCTAGCCCAAAGGCACATGGTTCAAACTGATCAGCTGTTCTGCAGGAGACAGATGGGCAGTCTCCTCCTGTATGATGATTTACGCCTCTGAAAGCCCACTGGAGGGTCAGCTATGGGTCAATTCCAGCTCGACTGTACTTAACAGTTACATATATATTTGTGTCCAGGCTGTGGAATGGCCAATGGACTCTAAACACCCAGCTGCCAGTTAGGACCCCGACACCTAATGCACCAAGACCACACACACACACACGCACACACACGTGTATGGGTGTGCACATATATAAACTTTTTAGTTCTGAACCAATTTAAGACTTCTAAGAAGTTTCAAAACTAGAAAAAGTAAAACACAGAACGTTCCCAGGACCTTTCCTGCAGCTTCTCCTCGTGACAGCGTCCTATTATCCAAAGCAGGATGTTGTCACTGGTGTACTGCTCTTAAATGCAAGCCTTGTTTGGATTTTCCCAGCTTTCACACACATGCTTGCTCTTTGGTGTATAATGCTGTGCCAGTTGACTTTTGGAGTTAGATATGGCCTTGGAGCTTCCGCACCTGTCACTGTGCCTTCTTGTATTAGCTCTCCCGAGCACATGCTCCATCTTTCAATGTCGTGTGCTTTGCTTCCCCCGTTGTGTCCCATCGAGCATTGGGGAGAAAGAAACGGGACAGGGCAGTGGTTCTGGGTGACTTAGCGACCTCCCTTCCTCATGAAGTCTTTCTTTTGCATCCAGATCATGTTTCATTCTTTCGGCGACAAACAAGGACCCCAGCATGGGATGCTGATCAACACACCGTATGTAACCAAAGACCTGCTGCAGGCCAAGCGCTTCCAGGCGCAGTCCCTGGGAACCACATACGTGTACGACTTTCCGGAAATGTTCAGACAGGCAAGTCTTCTGCCTAGGGCGTGGTGGCACCCTCGGCTGACCCCACCAGTATGAACCCAGCTTATCCTTAGTTACCCTTCCGAAGAACCTGTCCCCAGAACAAGGCCTTCATGAGGAACAGGAAATACACCTTGGGAATGACTGTGTAGCATTTGCCTCTAAAAGAAATCTCATTTTGTCCTAATGAGAGAAGTCATATAAGGTAGAAATGTTGGGAAATAAAAGGAGAGGAGGAAGAGGGAAAAAGTCACAAAATGGAAATGTCTGAAAGACAGATTGTTGAGCATTTTAGCGTATTTCCTTCTGGTCTTGTTAATTTGTTAAGTTTGCTCATTTGTTAAGTATCTGGTACCTTCCTGGTGGAGGGTCAGTGAAAGAGAGGAAGACCCTCCATGAGAGGGATTGATCCAGTGACCACAGCCACGGGCTCAAGTGTATCGGGGATAAAGAGGGTGCACCATAGGACAGGGTTCAGATCTGTTGTTCATCGGGTCCCTGTGAGTCACCCTCCGTTAGACAGCAGCTAACAACAGCAGCACCTGGGTGGGAAAGACAGACCCTCAGCGAGGTGGATTCACGAAGTGACTAACCCTGGGCTTGAGTGTGATGGAGATTGTGAGGGCCGCACAGGAGAGGGCAGGGCTCTCATCCTGTTGTTTATAGGCTCACTGTGAACCATAGCCAGCTCGATAGCACCTAATGACAGCTGCCTGCCTGGTCTTCAGCCTTCTGAATGGTCACAGCCATTGGAAACGCTGGGGAGCAGTTCTGCACTGCTCATGTCGGGGGTCACCACAAGTTGGAGGTGACTTGACAACATCTAGTGACAAGTGTTTGCACAGCATGTACATTAGAAGGAAGACAGGAAAGCGTGTACAGGATGAATAGAGTCCAGAGAAGGGCCAGCTTGGGGTTGGCAGCAATGGAGGGAACAGAAATGGAACCCAAAGGGACGCACCTTCCTTTGTATCTTACTTCTTTAAAGGATGTTTTCATATCTTCTTTGTTTAAAGAATCTTAAGCAGTCTGGGAAAAATTAAAACTGACCAGCATGATTATGAATGCTTGGGTATTTAATTGTTGTTATGTGCTGCCGTCGAGTCACTTGCAACTCACAGCAACCCTATTTACAACAGCCCTAAACCCCACTCTATCCTGGGCCAACCTCATGGTCTCTGACACACCTATCCCCATTACCGCAGTCACTGAATCAATCCATCTCCTCCAGGGTCTTCCTCTCCTGCACTGTCCCTCCACCCTTCCACGCATGACTTCCCTCTCCAAGGACTGGTCCCGCCTTACAACATATCCAAACTATGTCAGACAAAGCTTCAGAATCCTTGCCTCCAAGGATCAGGCTGGTTTCACCCTCTCTAGGATGCACCTGTTTGTTCTTCTGGTAGTCCATGATATATTCAATACTCTTCTCCAGCACTACAGCTCAAAGGCATCAATTTTCGTTATACTTTAAATGACTTGTTGTTTTTGTTGTTATGTGCCGTCGAGTCGTTTGCGACTCATAGCGACCCTATGCACAACAGCCCTAAACCCTGCTCTATCCTGCGCCAACCGCACCGCCTCTGACACACCCATCCCGATTACCCCAGTCACTGAATCAATCCATCTCATAGAGGATCTTCCCCTCCTGCGCTGTCCCTCCACCCTCCCAAGCATGATGTCCCTCTCCAAGGACCCGTCCCTTCTGGCAACATGTCCAAAGTATGTCAGACGAAGCCCCAGAATCCTTGCCTCCAAGGAGTAGCTTGGTGTAATCCTCTCCAAGATGAATCTGTTTGTTTTCCTGGCAGTCCATGGTACATTCAGTACCCTTCTCCAGCACCACAGCTCAAAAGCATCCACTCTCCTTCTGTCCTCCCTAGTCATTGTCCAACTCTCTGATGCATAACAAGCGATTGCAAAGACCATGGCCTGTATCAGGCGCACCTTAGTCTCCAGAGAGACACTGTTGCTCCTGAGTACCTTGAGAGGTCCCTAACAGCAGACTTTCCCATCACGATACGCTTTTTGATTTCCTGACTGCTGGTGCCAAGAGTGTTGACTGTGGAGCCAAGCAAACTAAAGCTGTGAACACTCTCAATCTCTTTGTCATCCATCCTGATGCTGCTAATTGGTCCAGTGGTGAGAATCTTTGTCTTCTTGACATTGAGCCTTAGTCCATACTGAAGGCTGCAGTCCTTGACCCTTTTTTTTTTAAATCCTAAGTCATTTAAGTTGAAAACTTAAATGACTTAGGATTTAAAAAAAATAGTTGGAAAATTCACATCAGAATCCCACTAGGTCATCCCGTTCTGGATCAGATGGTACATTCTTCTGGATTACTTTCACTTTTTCTCTTTCCTCTCCTCTTCCCAGGCACTCTTTAAACTCTGGGGCTCCCCAGAGATGTACCCCAAAGACATCCTGACGTACACCGAGCTGGTGCTAGACTCGCAGGGGCATCTGGTGGAGATGAACCGACTTCCGGGAGGAAATGAGGTAAGAGCTCAGCGGAGCCCGGCTCCAGGCGTGACTGACCCTTTACTCAACTGTCCCCTGAGAAACAACCAGCCTCTCGCATGTGCCCCTCTCTCACCAGGTAGGCATGGTGGCCTTCAAGATGCGCCTCAAGACCCGAGAGTATCCAGCCGGGCGGGATGTGATTGTCATCAGCAATGACATCACATTCCGCATTGGGTCCTTTGGACCTGGGGAAGACCTTCTATACCTGCGGGCATCTGAGATGGCACGGGCAGAGGGCATCCCCAAAATCTACCTCGCAGCCAACAGTGGGGCCCGCATCGGCCTTGCAGAGGAGATCAAGCACATGTTCCAGGTGGCATGGGTGGACCCTGAAGACCCTCACAAAGTGAGTCCCGAAGTGAACCACTCAGCCAGAATAGAAATTCTTCTGTTGTGATGTACGTGGTTTTCGAGACTTGCCACTAAGTCATTCCTCAGCTCTTGGCGACCCCATGAACGTGGAACAAGCACTGCCAGGCCCCTTCCCATCCCCATGGTCACTTGCAAGATGGACCGTTGTGATTCATGAAGTTCCCACTGGCTGAGTTTTCAGAAGTACAGCTGTAGGCTTTTCCTCCTAATCTGTCTTCACGTGGAAGCTCCACAGAAACCCTTCATGCAGAAAGCACAGATCCACACACTGTTTATAAAGAGACAAGTATAGTGTATCTGCCACGTCGGTTTCACGGGTGTGTTCTTCTTGTTAGGTGCTCTTGCGTTCACTAAGACTCATCGCGGCCCAGTGCCCAAGAGATCAGAACTTGCCCCGTCCTGTCATTTTCATGGTCTTCCACATGCCCGACCCCATTGGTACAGCCTCTGTGTCAGCCCATCCTGAGTGTCCTCTCGTTCTCGGACCCTCCACCCTTCCCAGCATGATGTCCTTTCCCAAGGACTGACCCCTCCTGATAATATGTCCAAACTATGTGAGGTGAAGCTTCACCGTCCTTGGCTCTAAGGAGCACCCTGGAATGCTCTTCCTCCAAGATAGATTTATTTGTTCTTTTGGCATTCTGTGGGATATTCAGTACTTTTCTCCAACCCCACAAGTCAAAGGCATTCCTTATTCAGATGTTGTTGTATTGTTGTTAGCTGCCATTGAGTCAAGTACGACTCCTAGCAACCCTATGAACAAAAGATCCGAACCCTGTTTATCCTGTGCCATCCTCACACTTCCTCACACAGGTGCCCATTGCAGCAGTCATGATGTCAGTCCACCTGGTCAAGGGTCTTTCTCTCCTCCACTGACCCCCCACCCTTCCCAGCATCATGTCCCTCTCCAAGGAATAGCCCCTTCTAGCAACATGCCCAAAGTATATGAGGTGAAGCTGCATCATTCTTGCCTCCAAAGAGCACTCCGGCTGCTCCTTCTCTAAGACAGATCTGTTCGTTCTCTTGCCGTCCATGGGATGTTCAGTGCTCTTCTCCAATACCACAGCTCAAAGGCGTCAATTCTTTTCCTGTCATCCTTATTCATTGTCCTGCTCTCAGATACATAGCTAGTAATTGGAAAGACCATGGCCTGAATCGGATGCATCTTAGTCCTTAAACTGACATCACTACTCCTCTATAATTTGGGGAGGTCCCTAACTGCAGATTTTCCCAATGCAATGTGTCTCCTTATTTCCTGAATGCTGGTACTTTGGGTGTAAAGGAAGGAATTGCAGCAAATAGGTGTAGTGATTAGGAAAGAAAAAAAAAGCCTTGTGGGAAATGATAGGGGGGGTGGCGGGGAGGTTGAAAACCAGTAACTCGGAGGAATGAGGGAAAGTGTGGAGTTGTGCTGTGAGGTGAGGGAACTGAAAACAAGCAGATGCTGGAGAGATCGTGGCTCGCATCCAGACCCCCACAATGAAGTGAAAATTGCAATGAAGTGAGTCACACCAGTATTTTTTTTGTTTCCCAGTGAACATAAAAACTATGCTTATACCAGACTATAGTGCAATAGCATTATGAAGAAGTTTGAAATATTGTGAGAATTCCCAAAATGTAACACATGTGCACACGTGCAGTCAAAAGTAGAGCTTGCTCGATGCCAGGGTACCACATATCTTCAGCTTGTGTAAAAATAGAATTATATACACCAAACATAATAAAGCTAAGCTTCCATGTGTGTGATTAACACGGAATTAGCCAAAACCCCAAATGAATAGCCCTGGAGTTGATTCCAATTCATGGCAACCCAGGAGAGTAGAACCGTGTACTTCATAGAGGTTTCATTGGCTGATTTTGAAGGGAGTAGGTCACCAGACCATTCGTCCGCAGCACCTGTGGGCGGATTTAAACCTCCAATCTTTCAGTTACCCTTGTCTGTGCCATCCAAGGAAGGCAGTGTTTTGATAGCTGATGTTATTAGCATGATCATTCCCTTCCCTACAATGCTGACATTAAAGCAGTAGAAGAAAAGTGACTACTAGGGACAGAAAGAGCTCTTGTGGCACCTGAGGTTGAGGCAGTCAGCTGCTAACCAGAAGGCCAACAGTTCAAACCCAGCAGCTGCTCCACAGATGAAAGGTGAGGGAGTCTGCTTCTGTAAAGATTGGAAACCCTAGGTTGTCGTTGTGTGCCATCAAGTAAGTCAAGACCACCTCTCCAGCAGGTTTTCCCAAACTGCAAATCACACAGGAGGAGAATGGCTGTCTTTATCCTCTAGGGCAGCTGGTAGATTCTCCCACCTGCCTGCAGGGTTGGCAGTCTACTCCTTCACCACTAGGCCACCAGCGCTCCCTGAGAAATCCCCAGGGGAAGTTCTCCTCCATCCTACAGACCTACCATGATGCAGTTGATGAAATGGCAGTGGGTTTGATTTTGTTAAGTGAGGGAACTGAATGCAGAGCTTCACCGAAGTATGTTTTTTTTTTCATTGAAGGGATTCAAGTACCTGTACCTGACCCCACAAGACTATACCAGAATCAGCTCCCTGAACTCCGTGCACTGTAAGCACATCGAGGATGGAGGGGAGTCCAGGTAGGTGCTTTCTCATCGCTGCAGTCATGGCTGTCGAGCTGGCTTAAGTCACAGAGACCCCCGTGTGTATGAGAGACTTCGTCCACATGGCCTGGCTCTGTGCTGTCTCCACGGTCACTGGCGTGTTTAATTCCATTTGGTGCATTGAGGGCTGGTCTCCTGGCGCTGTGTGGAACAGCATGCTTCCAGCTGACTGATGGTTTGACTGTACACTATACAGAAACGCTCCTCCAGATTGCTATCAGAGGAATGTGGGGCTGGGGCTCACGCCTCAGTCAGGCCACCTCCCAGCGGGCAGACGTCTTTACTTGGGGGCGGGATTGTTGATACAGCAGCCTCAAGCATTCTCATGAGGGTCCCTTGACTTCCCATTTCATCTCATCATGACTGCTTTACCCTCAACCAGGGGCCTTTGAGAAGCTTGTTAGTCTCCAGTATTTCTGAGCAGAGTTTTGTGGGGCTTTTTAAATTATTATACTAGTTTATTTATAAAATTAAAATACACTGCTTTCCAATTTCCCTCACCCCCCCATCAAATTGTACAATCCCATGTTTAATCCCCCCTCCCCCTGCACATCCTCATCCCTCTGCTTCCACCCTCCCCCCTCTTGGATTCTTACGCTCATTCTACAATAATGGTTTTATACAATGTTTGTCCTTATGAGACTGAGTTAGTTCACTCAGCATAATGCTCTCCAGTCCCTCCCAAGCTAGGTAATAATTTACAAAATCATTACTCCTCTGTGCTGCATAGTATTCCACTATGTGCATGTACCATGATTTCTCAATCCATCCATTTGTGGTTGGACACCTGAGCTGTTTCCGTGTTCTTGTGATGGTGAATGATGCTGCTGTGAACATTAGTGTACAAGTCTCCATTTGCGCCTCAGTTCTCATTTGCAGAGCTGTTCTTAACCCACTTTTGGTCCTCGAAGGTATGTGATCACTGACATCATCGGGAAGGATGACGGGCTGGGTGTGGAGAACCTGAGGGGCTCAGGCACGATTGCTGGGGAGTCCTCTCGGGCCTACGAGGAGATCGTCACCATCAGCTTGGTGAGTCCCCACCTCCTCTCCTTTTATTTTCTTTCTCCGACTTTTTACTATGCAAACTTTTGTATCATTACAAAAGTTAGGGAAATTTCTTTACCCCATGTGCCCACCACCCCGCATTAGTAGTGCAGTGACAGGCAGCCTTTATCAGTTCCCACCCCCTTTACAGAAGGACGAGGCTGTCATTGTACCTGGAAAAATCACCAATAGTTCTTCAGCCTCACTGCCACCCAGTTTGTGCTCCATTCTAAGTTGTCTCTGAAATACCTTTTACAATTGTTCAGCTGGAGTCAGGGCCCAACCTCTTCCTAGTTTAAAGGCCTTTGTTATTGTTGATTGCTGTTAAGTCGAGTCCGACTCTTAGTGACCCTATAAACAAAAGACCTGAAATCTGTTCTACAGCTATCGTCATCTAAGTTCATAGAGTTTCCACAGGCATGTGGTTTATGAAGTGGACACCACTCCTGCTTCCAAACCTGTCTTAATCTGGAAGCTCCACCAAATGCTGTCCGCCATGGGTAACCATTATGGCATTTGACACCCCAAAGGCACAGGGTTTGGCATCACAGCAACCCCTTAAGTGTCTTAAAAAACCGCTGTCTGATTTAAATGGCCGTAAGATGGTTATCCACCCCCCACTTTGGCCTTCCTCAAAATACTTTTTGTTTCTAATATTATTATTATTACTAGAAGTATAATTTGTTTTTATTGTTATTAGGAGCTGTTGAGTCAACTAAGACTCCTGAACTACAGATCTGAACCCTGTCCTGTCCTGTGCCGCCCTCATCGTCTCTGGCACACTCGCGCTCGTTGTTACAGACACTGTCACAGTACATCTCATTGAGGGTCTTCCTCTCTTTTTGCTGACCCTCCAACTTTCCAAACATGGTGTCTTTTTCCAAGGACTAGCCTCTCCTGTTGGAAGCAGGAGTGGCATCCACTTCCTAAACAACACGCCTCTGGAAACTCTATGAACTTTGATAAATGACAGTAGTTATAGGAAGGCTTTAGGCCTTTTATAGGGTCGCTATGAGTCGTGCCATACTCAGTGGCCATCAACAACAATAGCCCCTCCTAACAACATGCTCAAAATAAGTGAGACAGAGTTTCACCATCCTTAAAGGAACACTCTGGTTGCACTTTCTCTAAGACATATTGTTTGTTCTTTTGGTAGTCTATGGGGTATTCAATACTCTTCTCTAGCACCACAGCTCAAAGTCTTCAATTCTTCTGTCACCCTTATTCATTGTCCAGCTCTCAGATGCATACCAAGTGAATGGAAAGGTCCACGGCCTGAATCCGGTGCACCTTAGTCATTAAACTGACATTTTACTCCTTAACAGCTTAGAGAGGTCCTTGACAACAGGTTTATACAATGTAATACGCTTTTTGATTTCTTGGCTACTAGTAGCAAGAGTGTGTTTTAAAAAATTATTGAACATTAAATGAGTACCCACCCCAACCACCCACATTTCCTTAAAATATTTTCCATTTCTACTAGTAGGATAATTTGTAGTAGAGTAATAATACTCTTTAAATGGTGAGTCACCATTCAAGCTTTATTTTCACATATGGTGTTGGATCTTCTAAAGTGGAGGTATGCTGACCATCAGCATCTCGGCTTCATTTTTATAATATCGGGGTGTTTGGGGTTTTTTTTGTTTAGATATAATTTTTAAATTTTGAGATAGTTTAAGACTCACAAGACGTGAATGCCTGTGTTATTCTTTTCCCAGCCTCCTCCAATGAGAGCACCTTCTATAACCACTGTACACTTCAAAACTAGGACGTGGTCTTTGGCACAATATTATTGACTTGCCACAGAGCTCATTTAGCATCTCCTCATTTTTGTTAAGTTAAAAGGATTCATGGAAATGAGAATGAATCACAGGGAGGAAGTGGGTAAGATGTGACGATGACATTGAGTGTATTGTAACTAATGTTAGGAAACAAAATGTATATGAGTGGTTGATGAAAAACTAATTTGCTTTGTAACAACAAAATATGTTGGACTGTCCAGTGTCTGCAGTTTATCTTAAGGGATCCTCTCAGTAACCCATCAGCCTCCTCCTTTCTGAATATGCAGCCAAGAGCCACATGGTGACCAAAAGAATGGGCTTTTGTCTCTGCAATTTGACCCAGATCAGGCTGCCAATGATCACAGTGTTGCTTTCATTGGTGCCCAGCACATTCCTGGGTCCTTGCTGCCCTGTGCGGTGAGCACCCACAGTCACTCAGCTGCGATCTTGTCTCTGCAGGTGACCTGCCGAGCCCTGGGTATTGGGGCCTACTTGGTGAGGCTGGGCCAGCGCGTGATCCAGGTGGAGAATTCCCACATCATCCTGACCGGAGCAGGGGCACTCAACAAGGTGACCCAGAGAGGCTGCTGGCACGCATGAAGACGGGGTGGAGGGGACTGGGGTGTCCTCTTACCATTGTGCCCTGACCGAGTTGGTTTCCTCCACACGAAACCAGCTTCACTCTTCTTGACGTGAGAGCGCTCTGCAGTCTGCAGCTAGCCAGGCGCCTTCTGAGGCACAAAGTGCTGTGTCAAACTTGCCTTGCCTAGACATGGCGGGAGGGAGATTGCCGGGAGGTGGAGACAGAAGAGCTGTGGTCCTTCCAACAGTCAAAGGGCAAGACAGGAAAGTACCCAGATGGCGAAAGTGCTAGCGCAGAGTTAAAACCTGGGGGCCTCTGCAGACCCAGGAGGGCTGGTTATCCAGTGATCCCCAGACCCAACCTCCAAGGACCCTGATGCTGTCGAGGGTGAGGCCCACGAACTGGAATTTACATTTTCAGCTCTTTCTCAGGTGGTACTGATGCTGCTGGCTTGGGGGCCCTGCCGTTTGAGAACCTTTTGTTACGTGCCATCGAGTAGACTCAGCGACCCTATGAACAACAGATCTTTCAGCAGCCACTAAAAATGGAGGAGTGCAATAATATGGAAAGTAGTAGGGAAAATACAGAATTCTGATTCACACAAGCATTGTGATCCTAACTACATAGAGACAGGGTCATACTCTGAATTGAAGCAAAATTATGAATGAATTCTTCCCCCTCCTTCTTCAAACTTTCTGTATTATGTAGTAATTTACACAATTTCAGCATAGTGTAATACCACGTTAGTAATGTTGTTTTGTTTTGTTTTTTTTTTTTAAATATTAGTGATACAAAGTGTTAGCTCCACCAGTAGAGCCTGACACTTTTTAGGGGTGCTTAGACTCCTGTTCTCTCCCCCTTTCTCTAACGGGAGTTTCCACTTTATGACTGAAGCTTACCCAGCCCTGCCTCAAAGCACTAGGAAGCCTCCTCCTTTTGACTCGCTTCTGTAACCAGCTGCTCACCGGTTCCCAATGCAGCTGGGCTGCATTTTTTAAATGGGGGGGGGCTATAGGGGGGTTGATGTCTAGGCCTCAGTCCCCAAAGTTCTTACATGTTTGATCTGGGCATCAGAAGTTTTGAAAGCATCCGGGTGATTGTTGCATATGGTCAGGGCTGGGAATCATGGGTCAAGATGGAGATGGGTGGAGGTGGGCAGGGGTTCACTAACAGAGATAATGTTCACGCAGGTCCTGGGGAGGGAGGTTTACACATCCAACAACCAGCTGGGCGGTGTGCAGATCATGCACTACAACGGTGTCTCGCATATCACTGTCCCTGACGACTTTGAGGGCGTTTATACCATCCTTGAGTGGCTATCCTATATGCCAAAGGTAAATGTTCGCCTCGTCATTATCAGAATCCAAGCCAGCTTGTTTGCTGGTTGTGTCCACATCGCCTCCTGGGTGGTGCGGGAGGGTGGGCAGCAGGGAGAACAGTGAGTGGGGCTCAGGCTGTTCTTCATTCCTCTCTTACTTCCACCTGGGCACTGACTGCCCCTTGCTCTTTAGGAGAGATAGGGGCTCTGATGGGCTAGTTGTAATGTGTTGCACTGTCAACCCAAAGACAGGCAGTTCGAACTCACCAGCTGCTCCTCTGGAGGAAGGTAGGCAATCTCCTCTCATGGAGTCAGCTCTGAGTTGGCTCCCAACAGCAGTGAGAGAGCAAGAGTGCCATCTGCAGTAATATAATTCTTTAGAAAGGATGGTTGTGACTTCCAGCCAGAGAGGCAGCACTGGACAAGAAGTTTTGCAGTTCGTCTAGGTTTGGCCCCTGACTTCCTCCTTAGTAAAAACATGACACTTAGTGTCTTTCTCTCTGGGGGCCTCAGCTTCCTCATCTGGAAATAGAAGTGTTAGTCACACCAGTGCTGTGGTATTAGGACGACAACATAAGACGGGGTTCAGAGCACAACACTTAATACAACTCAAACCCGTTGCCATGGAGTCAGAATTGACTCCTTGTTGACTCTCTTTTTGGTTTCTGAAGCTGTAAATCACATCGAGAGGAGGTTGCCCATCTTTCTCGTACAGAGAGGGGCAGCTATGCCATCAGAAGGCCCAGAGCATTTCATAGACCTTCACCAAGTCCTGCATAATGATTAGCTATTCCAGTTGGACTTGTTGTATTAACCAGCTGTTTGGGTCTCAGTTTCTTGACTATGGTTGTGAGTATTTGCCTCACTCACAGGTAACCTGCTGAGAAGCAACCAAAAAAAGACGTGTTGTTGTTGTGTACTGTCAAGTCAGAACCAACCCATAGCTGACCTTCCAGTGGGTTTTCAGGGGCAGCTGGGGGCTTCAAACCTTTTGGATTGTAGCACAGCTTCTTGTCACTAGGTCACTAGAGCTCCCCAAGAAAGACGTAATTGTATTGTAGCATCTTATACAACTAGATGAGCTTGTTATTCTTCATTATAATTATTACCAAAGCTCCCTTCTAGGGTCCAGCTTATCCCCAGACCACTTGCCAAGAGCTCCAGTTTAAATATCACAAATGATAGCATATATTCCTGAGTATTCTTTTATTCTGTTTTCCCACTGCTGCTTTTCCTAACTGTTGCCAGTCTCTGCTGCTCACTTTTCTTTTAAAAAGGCATTATTCTCTCTCTCTCTCTCCCCCCCCCTCCATCCCTCCCTCCCCTGGCCTTTTTGGAGCAATAGCAGCCCTTTCTTGCCATTGTTCCTCTTCCTAGAATCAACAAGTCAATCTGAACCTTGAAATACACTTCACTTGCTTGTCCACTACTGTCAAGTTAACTCTGATTAATATGACACTTCCTCTGGTTTCTGAGGCTACACCATCTTAATGGGAGGAGTCCACCCATCTCTTCTCCATAGAACTGTGGGCGGACTCAAACCACTGGAGCCATGCAACCTTTTAGTTAGCAGCAAAGTGTGCTACAGGATGCAGTACCAGATCAAATATACTTAGGAGTCCTTAAGCTGCATTTCAAAAGACTCTGAAAGGTTTTTTTCCTGAGCCTAGGATAAGGTGGGATGCTCTGGTGCCCTAATGGCAAGAAGCTGTGCTGCAATCCCAAAGGCATACAGTTTGAATCTCACCAGCTGTACCGTGGGAGAAGGATGGACATTCTTCTCCTGTACTATTAACTGCCTCTGAAAACCCACCAGAGTGTCAGCTGTAGGTCAGTTCTGCTTTAATGGTACACAGCAGCAATGATACAGTAGCACATGGGAGAGGCATCGATATTTATGTAGATATTCCCAGAGGGGCACACTTAAGATCAAATGCAAGGGAGCTGAGACGTTATTAAGTACCATGCATTGACTAATCCTTATTTGACATTTTCAACCAAAATAGGGGCTCCAGAAACCTTAGAATATGGTATTGATGCATAACTAGGCATAATCATAGCCAGATAAAGACACATAATAGTTGTTATTATAAGCATTAGAGGCTGAACTGAAGGCTTGTTTTCTTTTCTAGGATAATCGCAGCCCAGTCCCTATCATCACTCCCACTGACCCCATTGACAGAGAAATTGAATTCTGCCCATCCAGAGCACCTTATGACCCCCGGTGGATGCTTGCTGGAAGACCTCACCCAAGTAAGTCCTAAAGGGTAGTTAGCCCTAGGTCTAGGTATCAACATTTCTTTTTTGGGCTTGGGATAGTAGAACATGTGGGGAAAGCACTGATATTGGGGCAGATATGCCCAGAGAGGCACATCTGAGTTCAAATGCAGGAGAACAGAGATATTATTGTTACTAGGTGCTGTCAAATTGACAACAACTATCGCAGCCCTGTGAACAATAGATCTGAACTTTGCCCTATCCCTGGCTAATCCTCACCGTCTCTGTCATGACTTGTTGTGTGTCAGTCCATCTCATTGAGGGCCTTCCTCTTTCACTAACCCTCTACCTTTCCTTTACCAACATGATGTCTCTCTCCGAGGACTGGTTCCTCCTGAAAATATGCCCAGAGTAAGTAAGGAAAGTTTCACATCTTTCCCTCCAAGGCAAGGATTCTGGCCAAACTTTCTTCAAGACAGATTTGTTTGTTCTTTTGGCAATCCATGTTCAATACTCTTCTCCAACTCTACAATTTAGAGACATCAGTTATTTTTTTTTTTGTTCTTTCTTTTTCATTGTCCAACTTTACATAGGAAGCAACTGAAAATATCATGGCTTGGGACTGACATCAGGGTTGGGGTAAGACTGAGAAAAACTGGATAAATAATGTATACTGCATTGAAACAGATGAGGAAGAGAACAGTTTAAAAGTGATATATGGTAGGGTATTATGGTTATCACAAGAGTCCAGAATGAAGGTTTCGTAGTGGAGTGTACTCGGGGTGGGGTATGTGTATACCAGTGAAGGAATTTTTCTTTTACTTTTCAAAGAGAAGAGTGAGCTGGAGGAGAGGGGTGGACAGGGAGAAAAGTTCAACAATGAATGAATGGAAATCCAAAATCTCTGTAAAATGTTCATTAAAATTAATAAAAAAATAATGGATTGTACCAAGTGCACCTTGATCTTTAAGCTGATATCATTGCTCATTAGCGCTTTGGAGAGGTCATTGATAGCAGATTTTCCCAGTGTATTATGTCTTGGTTTTTTGACCATTACTACTCTGGGTGTTGATTGTGGATGCAAGTAAAATGAAATCCTTAATGACTTCAATCTTTTCTCCGTCTATCATGCTGTTGCCTCTTGGTCTAGAGGCAAGAATTTTTGTTTTCTTGATGCTGAGATGTAACCCATATTGAAGGCAATCAACAACAACAATCTGCTGTCAGGAACCTTTCCAGAATGCTGAAAAACAACAATGTCAGTCTAGAGACTAAGGTGCGCCTACTCCAGACCATGGACTTCACAATTACTTGTTATGCTTCAGAAAGGTGGACAATGACTAAGGATGACAGATGAATCAATGCCTTAGAATTGTGGTGTGCTAGAGAAGAGTCTTGAACATACCATGGACTGCCAAGAAAACAAATAGGTCTGTCTTGGAGAGGGTGAAACCATGTTTCTCCCTGGAGGCTAGGATTTTGAAGTTCTTTCTCACATATTTTGGACATGGGGCTGGGAGAGACTGGTTCTTGGAGAAGGACATCATGCTTGGAAGGGTGGAGGGGCAACGCAGGAGAGGAAGACCCTGAACGAGATGGATTGATACGGTGACGGGGCAATGAGGCTAGGTATGTTGGAATCAGTGAAACTGGCTCAGGACAGAGCTGGGTTCAGAGCTGCTGTACATAGGGTTGTTATGTGTCACAGGTGACTTGACAGCACATAACAACAAGAAGCTTTATACAAAGAGAACTCTGTGAATTTACCTCAGTGAGCAGCTTTGGCCTCTTCTTTCCTGCACAGATACACATGTACTTGTGTGCACACTCACAACACATAGATGCACTCCCATGTATTTACATAGCATTTCTTAAGCTCAAGGAACTGAAGAACAAATTCAAACCTCGAGTTGCTATAATCAAGGATGCTTTAGGAAGAATATTAAATCATTCAGGAAGTATTAAAAGAAGATGGAAAGAATATACTGAGTCACTGTATCAAAAGGAATTGGCAGACACAGAAAAATTTCATGAAACAACATATGAACAAGAGCCTATGGTGATGCAGGAAGAAGTTCAAGCTGCTTTGAAGGAAATAGCAAAAAATAAGTCCCCAGGAATAGATAGTATACCAATTGATATATTTCAGCTAACAGATGCTGCCCTGGACGTGCTCACCAAGTTATGCCAAGAAATCTGGAGAACAACCACTTGGCCAGCTGGCTTCCCATTCCAAAGAATGGTGACCCAACAGAGTGTGGAAACTATAGAACAATGTCATTGATTTCATATGCAAGCAAGATTCTACTGAAGATTATCCAAAAATGACCGGAACAGTACATCAGCAGAGAACTACCAGAAGTCCAGACTGGGTTTAGAAGGGGTCGTGGTACTAGGGATATTGTAGCTAATGTTAGATGGATCTTGGCTGAAAGCAGGGGATACCAGAGGAATGTCTATCTGTGTTTCATTGATTATGCAAATGCATTTGACTGTGTGGATCATAACAAACTGTGGCTGACTCTGAGAAGAATGGGAATCCCAGAACACTTGATCGTGCTAAT